GTGAGGAGCCCTCCTGTCCCTCCCTCCCCCCCTCCCCCCTCCGTGGCCTACTTGCACATTGCGCTTCCTACGGCTCAAACAGCCACTGCTCAAGTGAAACGTGTGGACAACGTTGCTTGCAGGTCGCCGAGGTCATCGCGCGCACTATGACTCGCGGGGCGGCGCTTATTGTTCCGCCCCCGCTAGCCAGACAATTGGGCGCGAAGGGTCTGCCAGCGGCGCCTACTGTTCCATCGGCAAGGCTGTCGCATGACTGGCCTGCGGCGCCTATTGTTCCGCTGGCCGAAGGGTCTGCTGGCGGTGCTCATCGCCCTTCCAGCGCAAGCCCGGCGCTCTGGACATGCCTTGTCCAGTTCGATATTGCGTGTGGCGCATGAGCGCCAGCGCGGCCCATTCGGCTGGCTGCGCCTATTGTTCGGCTGGCCCAGCCATGTTGGTGGTGCTCACTGCTCCATCAATGAGTATCGTGTCTCGCGGGCTTTTCCGCGTCCTATCACGCTTGCGACTGCTCGCGTCCGAGAGCGGATAATACGGCGTGCCGCGCCTTTTGTTCGGCGGGCGTGGCCCTGCTGGTGGTGCCTATTGCCCCGCAAGTGGGCGCCGACGCCTGCGGCCGTTCGACGATCAACTCTGGCTTGCACGAGGGGTGACTTTCCCATTGCGGGCTACCTGCCCATCACAGCTCATTGTTCTGCTAGTCCGTCCCTGCTGGTGGTCGGGCACGTCCAACCGGCGCCCGCGCTTTTCGGACATTCGTCGTCCACTTTTTGGCGTGTTGGGCGCGCGCCCACGCGCAGCCTCGGTAGCCGGCAGCGCCTGCTGTTCTGCTGGGCATCCTTCCGCGGGCCAGCCACGTGAGGCCCAGGCGCCGGCTTGAGAAGCGATGATCGAAGAGGAGCTTCGAGGATTCGAGGATCGAGGAGCTTCGAGGAGCGGAGGAGGAGCTTCGAGGATCCAGGATGAGGAGGAGAAGGAGGAGGAGGAGGAGAAGGAATAGGAGGAGGATCGAGGCTTGAGTCGTTGTGGAAGTGTTCCCTCGGGGGGGCCTCTGTGGACCTCGGGAGACCTTAGGGGACCTTCGAGAGGAGCTCCAAGCACCTACACCTCCGAAGTCGGGATCTTTTTCGGCCCTCGCGTCTTTGATTTCGACCTCCAAGGGCCGATTTCGGAATCCGAGGCCATCAAATAGCTACCCAGCAACGGGCACCCATCGTTCGGAAGAAGTGGGTAGACACATGAAGTAGGATGGCGTCGAAAGTAGATTAAGTTTCCTCCGCTCCGTGAAGCGGATAGAAGGGATTCGGTTCTTATAAGAGGAACGTGCCTAAAGGAAAATATGTTTGTGGGAACCCAAGAACACCTCACCTTCAACGAGCGATGTGCAAGGACTCAGAATTTCAGAGGGGGGCCCGTCACCCGTCACGAGCAAGCGTGTGACGTCGGAGGTCCGAGGGGTCCTGCTTGCGTGCTGATTGCGAAAGCCCGCGTGTCTGAAACTGGTGCCCGGGCTACCTACACGACAAATAATCGAAGCAGTCACACACATATATAGATATATAGAGAGAGAGAGAGAGAGAGAGAGAGAGAGAGAGAGAGAGAGAGAGCAAGGGAGGCGCGGGAAGGTAGACTCGCTGGGGAAACCACCAATCAATGCCACGCGACGGCGCTCTCCCACTTGTCCACACGCTCCGCCACAACGCGTAAAAAGATACGCACAGTCCACTCAGACGCAGAGTCGAAACCGTCAAAGTGTGTCAGGAGAAGAAACCCCCGACTCTCACGAACCGTTTCTGTATGAACACGCCCACTCCCGCACCCCAGGCGCGCGCAAATTGCTGATGTGGCCAAAAACGCCAGCTTCACTGAGCCCGCAGCGGCCTGCGTGTATGTGGCATCTTGTCTGTAAGGGTTCTATATCTCTATATATATATATATATATATATATATCGCTCGCGAGAAGGGCCGGGGGGCCGCTGCCAGGCCCAGAATCGGTAACCTGATGGTCCGCCGTATGGTCTCCCGTGCGGTCTCTCGCACGGTCTCCCGGATGGTCTCCCGCACGGTCTCCCCTGTGGTCTCCCGCCTGGTCTCTCGCGCAGCCTCTTCCGTATGGCCCCCGATGCGCACTATGCATTAACATACTTCCTCGACTATTCAACTCTGCTGTTCAGGGTCTTCTGCCACTGGGGTGTAATTCCGATTTGAAGGGGCCCATCACCCCGATGAGTGGGGGAAATATCAGAACAACTATCACAGCACACATAGAAACTCCCATAGACCTGCGCGGCTTTCTAGGGTCGTCGTTGCATGCACCCCCCGTGCAGCCCCTCCCCCCAGGGGCGGAGCCAGGAGGCTCCGCCAAGGGTGGGGTTCCACCGCCGCCGACCAAAGACTTTCGAACGTTCATCGAACGAGCGAGCCTCGCGCGTCCGGGGTGCGCTGGCGCAGAAGGTGAAATGAGCGGCTCACTCTGATCCTCGCTCCAACATCGACCAACACGAGTGCTGGAGGTTTGGGATCCCCGCATCCGCCCCCCCGAGGCACCCACGAATCCCGCAAGAGAAGGGGAACGTGAAGATAGCGGAAGGGGGGGAAGAGAAAGGGAAGTGGAATGTGAAGTAAGACACGACGCGACTGCTCTCCCCGACCTTTCAGCAACTCTCAGGCCTCATGCGTACGCAGGAGGTGGAAGATGCGATTCGCGATCGGCGTGTCGCCGACCTTGTCTGGATGCCATGTCCTGCGTGGGGCTAGAACCAGGTTGAGGTTGGACATGCGAAGGGCGAACACGTTAAATAAGTAACACTTGGAGGAGTCCAGGGGTGAGATTTGTTGTAAGGGTTACTGTACATGTCGTCGACGCCTCAATCAACAGCACGCTCGCAGGTGGCATGGGGCCGATGACGGTGTTGCCTCTTGCAGGACAATGCATATGTATGTGTAAAATATGTACATATATATATATGTACATGCATCCGCATATATGTATATACACACATGTAAACTTTACATAGTGTCAAACTGGTGTGAGCCCCATCTTACCCTGTGCGGTGCTAGAGGCACGCAAACGTGATGTGTGCACAGTGGGTAACTCTGAAACTCTGATAGTACAACGAAAACCCAGCTCCAGTGGAAGCTCACTCATCGCCACTGTCCGAATCGAGGCCTGGGCCCATGACATAACAAAACAACTTCGCGTTAGAACCTCACTTATTGTCGTTGCCAATGTGACGGCCCTGACTGCAAGACGTCTAGACTCAGGTGCTGGAAACGAGGACAGGGAGGTGGCGCGTGAGAGAGATGAGGAGCAATGGTACAATCCAAAGAGAGCACACTTCGCGGCGAGCCTGAAACTTACAAGATGCTCAACTGAACGGGCACTGAAGACGATGCCGCGCCCAGAATGGCCACCAAGCCAGACTGGTGGCAAGGTTCACCCGGCAGGTCCACGCACTCAGGTGATGTTGCAGGAACGCAGGTCCACGGACAACCGCAGACGGGCGCGTCGACCGATGCTGGTGGCGGAGCGGAATGGGGCGAACTAGTGTTTGGAGCGCATCAGCACGAGCCCCAGGGTTTGCGGCCAAGAGGGGGTTTCTAGGATGGTACCAACTGATTCTGTCTCGCGTGTCCAGGTGGGGGGGAAAGGAGGGAATGGAGGGGGGAGGCCTTCATGTGTGAGCACAGAGACCAATACATGTAGACACACACACACATATATACATACATACATGCATGCATGCATACAGACATATATACAAACTAGAACCACGCGCGCGCTTAGGTTCTCGCAAGCTCTAGTTGTGGTCGAAAGTGTTCGGCACCAGAGGACATATATTGTCACACGGATCGTGCCACTCAGGGAGCTTCACCTGCGGCCCCAGGGACAGGCTTCGCTTCTCGTTCTCCCGCCCATGTCGGCACAGCCCTCACTAGGAGCGCGCCCCACGGGAAGCTCCACCTACTAGTACGTCTCCAGGGGCAAGGTTCGCATAATGTCACGCCCCTCAGGCGGATTGTGCATCGCAAGTAACTGCATTTGTGGCACCGGAGGAAAGCTTCGTAGCGTCGCCAAGCTCTCTTCGGCAAACCTCTCACGCGGATCGCGGCCCGCAGAAAACTCCACGGACGGCCCCAGAGACAAGGTTCGCATCCCACCCCCCCCGCCTACGTCGGCACGCCTCTCATACGGACCGTGGCACACAAGGATCTCCACCGACGACCCTAGAGGCAGGGTTTGCACTGCGCTCCCCTTCCCTGGCCATTGTGGCACACACCCAATCACGCGGATCGTGCCCACAAGGAACACCACCTAAAGGCACAGAGACGACGTTCATACAGCGCCCCACCGCCCATGTCGGCACACCCGTCACACGAATCATGCCCAGGAAGGAGCCCCAGCTCTGGCACCAATGGACAGCTTCGCATGGCGTCCCTCCGCCCATTTCGGAACATACCTCGCACGGGTCGTGCCCGGGGGAGGCCTCAATGGGCGTGTTCGCGCGGTGGCATCCAGATTTGTCGGCACACCCTGCACGCGGATCGTGCCTCACAAAAATTCCAGCGCACCCGTGCACGCGTGCTCCGCAGCAGCCATCTTTCCGCATTGCCCCGCGGCGCGCAGCGTATGAAGAGAGACCCGAAGAGAGACCCGCGCTCTGCACTACACATGGATGTACAACGATGGGTCTGTCGCCAAACAAACTGCTTGTTTATGAGACGAAACAATTTTGGCCCCCTGGGGCCCTCTCGGGGCGCATTTTGGAGCCGTCTTCGGAGCCTCTTGCGCAGTCTTCTTCGCGCGTCTTTGGCCTTGTCAGGCCACTGTGGTTGTTTGTTGGCAGCTTCCAAAACTGCTTGAGCGGCAGGGGGAGGCCCGGGAGGCTTTGAAAGGAGTCAAAAATGTCGTGGGCCAAAGGGCGGGGAATCCAGGAGAGTGTCCAGGCCCGGTTTTGGTCCTCCTCCTCTTCTCCTCCTCCTCACTCCCCTCCTCCTCCTCCTCATCCTCCTCGTCCCCCCTCCTCCTCCTCCTCCTCCTCCTCCTCCTCCTCCTCCTCCTCCTCCTCCTCCTGTCCTTGCTTCCTTCCTTCCACATATGGCATGTGGGGACCTCCGGGGGCCTCGGGCCTCGCAGAGGAGAGCGGCAGTTGCAAGCAGCACCCTCGACAGCGAGTCCACTCGGAGGGCGGCCGCGGGCGCCCGGCGGGGTGGCGCGGACCCTCCTCGGGCTCCTCGTTAGGGGGCTCCTCGGGCTCCTCGCTCGGGAGCTCCCGAACGAAGTGAACCCCACCCTCCCCCTCAGAACTCGTGGGGGGTAGGGGCAGGGTTCGCATGTGGCCCCCTACTCGTCGGACTGGCGGCGACAAGCATGCTCCCGGAAGGCTTTCTGAGAACATGATCCAGTGGGCCGTGTTGGAGGTGTCCGGGGTGCCCCGAATGAGGCTGCAGAGCCCGAATGATAGCCAGATGGAACCATTCGAAAAACTTGAGGTGGTGGTGAAGCTTGGAAGTGAGATGGGGGAGGTGTAAGGTAAACCAACCAAAGCACCAAAACATGTAGGAGCTGGGAGGACCACGGCAAGGAATATAAGAAGGAGCGTAAGGGGGGTCCCCAAGAGACTGGAATGGCCTTCGACCCATCTCGCCACTGTGCCTGGGTAATTGGTCAAAGGCCATGAGAGCGTTAGGAGGAATGTTGAAGAAGGCCTCTTGGGGGCCGATGTTTGGCCTATTGGGGGCCGTTTAGGGGCCTTCTTGGACGTCGTGGGGGCCTCCTGGGGGCCGCTTGGAGCCTCGTGGCAGCCTCTGGGGGCCTTCTTGGGGCCTCCTGGGAGCCACTTGGCGCGAAGAACTCCAAATTTCGGTTCGTGCTCCCCCTCTTGCGCCCATCTTCGGGCCGTCTGTATGGCCTTGGGGGCCGCCTTGGTCGCCCCTGAGGCCGTCATGTAGCCCAGTTAGGCCGTCCTGGGGCCTTCCTGGGGGGCTCTTGGCCCGTCCTGAAACGGTGTTAGGCCTCTTGGGCCGCCTTGGAGCGCCGGAAACTCGAAAAGTGGACCCCGAAGAAAACATTGAAACACCCGAGGGAATAACAAAAGTTGCCTCTCGGGTCACTCCTCTGAAGCCACGGGTGCCCACTGAAGCCTGCCCGGGGCCGTCCTGACGCAGCCTGGAAGCCTTCGGAGGACGTTCACAAGGCATCTTTGGCGTTCTCGAGGAGTGATGGACCGGTCCGGTAGACTGTCGTACTAACTTGTGGGCCATCTGTGCGCCCATGATGCTTGTTTGGGGGCCACGAGGGCGCCCCTGGGGCCCCCATGCCGCCGAGTGACCGCGGTCTGGCCCCGCTCCGGACCTACTCCGAGATGTACACACACACGCACATATATATATATATATATATATGTATACACACACATATATTCAACATCAACACTATGATTACACCTGTTGCTTCTGAATGATACTTTCTTGCTGCTTATAATCAAACTACGAATGATATGGAAGAAAAATCAGCCATATCCTTAATATTCGTATTCTTAACACTATATTGCTATTATTCCCCACCCTCCCTTGGTTGGGGTCCAGTTTTGAATAGAGCACTGTGATATCCACCTCTCTTCCTCCTGTCCCTGATTCCGCCTCCCCTCTTCCCCCTCCTCTTCCTCTCTCATCCCGCCTGCCTCCTGCCGCCTGCCTCGCGCCCGCGATCTGCGAAACTGTCGTCACTTTCGTGGGCTTCTGGGAAGGCCAGCGGAGTGACGTCCTACGCGGATCACCACGAGACCTCGCCGCCCCCGGGGGGGCTGAATTCTGCGAAACTGTCGCCACTTTCGCGGGCATCTGGGAGGGCCACCGGAGTGATGTCATACGCGGATCACCACGCGACCTCGCCGCCCCCAGGGGGGGGGGATCTGCGAAACCGTCGCCATGTTCGTGGGCTTCGGGGAGGGCCAGCGGAGTGACGTCATACGCGGATCACCACGAGACCTCGCCGCCCCCTGGGGGGCTGCGATCTGGGAAACAATCGTCACTTTCGTGGGCTTCTGGGAAGTCTAGCGGGGTGACGTCATACGCTGATCACCCCGAGACCTCGCCGCCCCTTGGGAGGCTGCGATCTGCGAAACCATCGCCACTTTCGTGGGCTTTTGGGAAGGCCAGCGGAGTGACGTCATACGCGGATCACCACGAGACATCGCCGCGCCCTGGGGGGCTGCGATTTGCAAAACTATCGCCACTTTCGCGGGCTTCTGGTGGGCCAACGGAGTGACGTCATACGCGGATCACCACAAGACCTCGCCGCCCACTGGGGGCTGCGATTTGCGAAACCGTCGCCGCTTTCGTGGGCTTCTGGGAGGGCCAGCGGAGTGACGTCATACGCGGATCACCACGAGACCTCGGCCCCCAGACCCCCCAAAAGAGCCCCAAGAGGGCCCCCAAACGCTCCAAAAGAGCCCCAAAAGGGTTTCAAGAAGGCCCGAAGATGACCTCAAGAGAGCCCCAAGAAAGAGCTCCAGGAGGGCCCACAAGGGCCCCAGGAGAACCCCAAGAGATCCCCAAGATGGCTCCAAAATTCGAAACGCACGCGAGCTTAAGATACACATCGGTGCAACAGCCATTATGAGTCATCGAAACACCCCTCACCCCTCATCGAAACATCATCGTAGCTTGCACGTGTTATCATCTTAAACTTCAGTGCGGGAAGCTCTTTGCGATCCTTGTTTTCCCGAAGACGGCTGCGCAACTGCATGCGTCCTGCCGCCCCTGATTCACCGACTCCCCTGCTGATCGTTTCTGGATGGGCTGGTGGGGATACATTTTGCGTCGCAACCGCAGGCGAGAGCGCCAGCGGCGAGTAAGGTCCGAGCGGGCCGCGCAAGAGCCTGATTGCTCAACGCCGACGGGCTGGAAACCTAAGCAGCACCTAAGCGGGCGGGCTGGCGTGAGGGGGGGGGCGGGCTTCAGCTGCCAGGAACCGGTCTAGGAGCGCGCACATGCACGATTGACCAACCAGGGTTGGAGCGCAGCCAAAATGGCGCGGGGGTGGTACCAGATGTGACCAGGAAGGCAACCAACAGTACACTGCATCAGCTGCCAGGAGACCATACTGGCCTTAAAACTGGTGCATAGGGTGGCGCAACTGGTAGGGACACACGAAGCGTCAAGAATTCTTACGTTACGAATCAGTGTCGCGCTAATTGTTTCCATCCACGGTGACAGCATTAGTACCTAATTACAGTAGCCCCGTCCAGCCCCCGCCGCCCCTCGAGGAGGAGGAGGAGGAGGAGAAGGAGGAGGAGGAGGAGGAGAAGGAGGAGGAGGAGGAGGCGGAGGAGGAGGAGGCGGAGGCGGAGGCGGAGGAGGCGGAGGAGGAGGAGGAGGAGGAGGAGGAGGAGGAGGAGGAGGAGCCCCGCGGCGGCGCGCAGGCGAAGCCGCGCCTAGGTCGCCTCGGCTCGCACATCGCGCGTCGCGATGCGCGGCGCGCGGTCACCTTCGCGCCCTTGGCGCCCACGCGCCGACCCCTCGGAGAAGGCCGGCCGCTCTGGCCCGGGCCACGGCGCGCGCAGCGACAGTGCCGTCGCGCTCCCGCGGGCGGCCCACGGGGGAGAGGGCCCTCCGGGCGGTGAGTTTCCCAGCCAGCGGGGGAGGTGCTGCACGCGCAGGGGCCGCCGAGAGCGGGAGCTGCAGGTGCGCTCGGCGCTCGGGCGGGAGGCGCTCGGGCGCGGTCTTGAAGAGGCGGCGCATGACCGCCTTGTAGTCGGCGGGCTCCATCTTCCCCATCTCCTCGCGGGGGGGGCTGAGGGAGGAGGATCCAGGATCGAGGAGGAGGATCGAGGAACGAGGGAGGGATCTTGTGGGAGGAGCGGAGGAGGAGGAGAAGGCGGAGGATGAGGAGGAGGGTCGAGGATCGAGGAGGATCTGGTGAACAGGACGGGGAAGAAGACGGGGAAGGGGGAGGGGCGCGGGGCGGTGGGTGAGCAGGAGGGGGGAGGTGGGCGTTGAGGAAGGGGGGGCGAGGCGGCGGGGAGCAGAGGGGCGGGGGAGGGGGAGAGGAGGGGGGGCACAGGAGGCAGCGGGGGGGCAGTGCTGGGAGACGGAGAGGGGGGGGGGTGTTGAGGCAGTGTCACTGCACCGACCTTGCAGACGCGCTGCAGCGGATTTTTGCTTGGATTTCTGTCACTGCAAAACCCTGGAACGACGAGCGAAAAACGAAATCATTTTCACGTGGATCTTTGTTGTAGTCTTCATTCCTGGCCAAAAGATCCGCACGAACTTCACTTCGAAATCCGGAGCGATACTCTCCAGGACAATCCGGGCCCATCCCATCATTTTCCCACCGAAATCCGCTCTGCGATGTTGGCGCCATGAGCAGCCTAAGACGAAGCCAAGACGAGGATAACATCGGGTAAGGACGAAACGGGAATCTCTGAGATCCGGCGGTTCTGGAAGATGTCTCGGGCGCCGCGGCCTTCTTAGAGAAACCCGGAACGCTCTGAGAGTGTTTCGGAACGCTCTGGAACGGACTTATCCTCGTCCTTGCCCCGCCCCGCCCGTCCCCGCCCCGTCCTTGCCCTGCCCGCCCGGAAAGATGGAGAGGGAGGGTGTGGAGAAGCGGGGGGAAAAGATGGGGGACGGGGCGGTGCGGGAGGGGGAGGGGGAGAAAGGGGAGGAGGAGAGAACCAGCGGAAACGGGCGGGGGGGGGGCGTGATCGGCAGCGTCTGGTCTCCCAAGACTCTCCTGGATGGCTCCTTGGGGGCAACCTCGAGAGCTTCTCGGGGGCGTCGGGGCTTCTTGTGGATATTTTCAAGCCTTCGAGGACTTTGCAGCGGCCTTGCACCCGTCGCTCGGCGTCCCTGGAGATGCCCAGGGGCTGTGGCGTAGGCCGTCGTGGGGCCACGAAGGGTGCCAGAGAGTAAAACGCGAGGGACGACCTGTTCTGGTGGGCGGTAGGCGCCCCTGGAAGCTGCAGAATCCCGACTGGGCAGCTGACGACACGCAGTCGAACACGCCTCGCCGCTCTACGGTTGATCTGGATGTTCCGTGCATCGTTGCATCCCTGCCCTCCCCTCGCCTTCCTCTCCTCCGCATCCCCTCCTCTCTAGGCTTCATGTCTGTTGGCCTCGGTTGGGCTTCAAGAAGGAACTAGCATGCAAACTCTTTTTTTTTTCGAGAGCATATCGGTCGGAGGCGCTGGGTACAAACATGAAGTAGAAGGCGGGAGAAGTAGATTGGGCTCGCGGCCGCCCAAAGAGAAACACACCCGCGACAACTACAAGCAGTAGATTACGATTTCTGGGCCATCTCCTTGCGGCGCGCAGCAGCCCTGGGTCGCTCGGCCCCATCGGCCGCCCCTTCCCTGGCTGGTTCTGGTTGTTTTCGTTTGTCCGTCAGTTGTCCGTCGGTTGCTCTGGGCGCGCCTGGCCCCTCGGCCCGCCCTCGGTCGCTCGGTCTCTCGGCTGGTTCTGGCTATTATCGGTTGTCCGTCGGCTGCTCTGGCCGATTGCTCTGGCCGGCTGGCCCTTGGTCGCTCGGTCTCTCGGCCGCCCCTTCCCCAGCTGGTTTTGGTTGTGTTCGGTTGTCCGTCGGTTGTCCGTCGGTTGCTCTGGTCGCGCCTGGCCCCCCTCGGCCGCCCCTCGGTCGTTCGGTCTCTCGGCTGCCCCTTCCCTGGCTGGTTCTGGTTATTTTCGGTTGACCGTCAGTTGCTCAGGTCGCGCCTGGCCCCATCTGCTGGCCCTCGGTCGCCCTGTGTCTCGGCTGCCCCTTCCCTGGCTGGTTCAGGTTATCTTCGGTTGTCCGTCGGTCGTACGTTGGTTGCTCTGGTCGCGCCTGGCCCCTCGGTTGGCCCTCGGACGCTCAGTCTCTCGGCTGCCCCTTCTCTGGGTTGTTCGTCGGCTGCTCTGGTCGCGCCTGGCCCCTCGGCCGGTCCTCGGTCGCTTCGTCTCTCGGCCACCCCTTCCCTGGTTGGTTTTGGTTCTTTTTGGTTGATTTTGGTTGTTTTCGGTTGTCCGCCGGTTGTCCTTGGAAACTTTGGAGGCAGATCTGGAGGAAATCTCGAGAATTCTTGGAGGAAGATCGAGACATATCGGTCCAAGGAGGTCTGGAGGATGGAAGATCTGAAGGAACATCCGGGGGACGACCTGGGGGGGGACACCTGGTAGTAATATCTGGGGGGTCTGCAGCTAGGGGATCTGAAGGAAGATCTGGCGGAAGCTCTGGAAAAGGAGCAGCCGAAACGCCGAGCGACCGAGGGGCAGCCGGGGGGGCAGGCGCGACCCGCGCAACCCACGGACAACCGACGGCCAACCGAAAATAACCAAGACCAGCCCAGGGAAAAGGGGGGGAGAGGGGGCACCCGAGAGACCGAGCGACCGAGGGGCGGCCGAGGGGCCAGGCGCGACCAGAGCAACCGACGGACAACCGAAGGCCAACGGAACAAAAACAGCAAAAAACAGCCAGGTGGGGCAGCCGAGAGACCGAGCGACCGGGGGCTAGCCGAGGGGCCAAGAGCGACCAGAGCAACCGACGGACAACCGAAAGTAAACAACAAACAGCCAGAGAAAAGGGCATGCGAAGCGCCGAAAGGCCGAGGGCTAGCCGAGGGGAGCGGCGCGACCAGACCAACCGACTGACAACCGACGGACCAGCGAAAACAACCCAGAGCTTCCAGGGAAGAGGCAACCGAAACGCCGAGCGACCGAGGGACAGCCGAGGGGCCAGGCGCGATCAGAGCGACCGAAGGACAATCGACGGCCAACCGAAAACAACCAACACCAGCAGGGGGGGGGAGGGGGGCAGCACCGAGGGGCGGCCGAGGGGCCAAGGGTGCATACGAGACGCCGAGCGACCGAAGGCTAGGGACCGGCACGAAGGGACAACCGACGGCCAACAGAAAAGAACCCCAAACCAGCCAGGGAAGGGGCAGCCGAAACGCCGAGCGACCGATGGGGCACCGAAGGGCCAAACCGAAATCGACGGGGCAACCGACACCAGCGGGGGGGGGAGGGGGGCACACCGAAAGCAGCCAGGGGGAAGGCCGAAAACCGACGCCGAGCGAGGAAGGCTAACCAAGGGCGCGGCACGACCAGACAACTGACGGACACCGACGCCAAAGCCGGACCCAAACCAGCCAGGGAAGGGGAGCCGAAACCCGACGACCATGGGGCACCGACGCCGCGCGGCGGCGGCCAGGGGTCAAGACGACGAGACCCCCGCCCCCCGGAAAAAACAAAAGCAGCCCGGAAGGGTCCCGCAAGGCCGAGGACCGAGGGGAGGCCCTGAAGGGCCCCAAAGGGCCGAGGACCCCGACGGCCAACCAAAATTCCCGGCCCAACGGGCCAGGGCGACAAGATCCCGGACCAAGACGCCCAAGGGCTAGTTCCGGGCCTCCGACCCCAAGAGGCCAAATCGTTGTTTTCATTGTTTTCCCGGATGTTTTTTGCGTTCTGGCTTTTTCGGCTTCCGGACGCTCCAAGACGGCCCAAGAGGCCCCCTTCCGGCTCCAAGACGGCCCACGAGGCTCCCAAGACGGCCCCGGAACGGCCCAGGAGGGCCCCCAAGACGGCCCAAGTGCCGCCCAAGACGGACCAAGAGGCCCCAAGACGGGCCCAAGAGGGGCTCAAGAGGGGAACCGAGAACTGAAAAATCGAGCCCTCCGCCCCAGAAGGCGCCCAGGAGGCCCCAAAAAGGCCCCAAGAGGCCCCCAAGAGGCCCCCAAGACGCCCCAAGAGGCGCCCAAGAGGCCCAAAAGAGGCCCCAAGAGGCCCCAAAACGGCCCCCAAGAGGCCCCCAAACTCGGCTAACCCACAACGGTGCGACAATATGGGCCGGCGGAATGAGCGAAGCGATGAAATAACAAATGCCACGTCGCGAATTGAACGTCGTTCTTGTTTTGAAAATCGCTTACGTTTTATATGACACGAAAAACGAAAAACGACCGGATCCTCCAAACAGCCCGTTTCGATTCAAACCGTCGCCCGCGAAAACAAGAAACAAAACGGCCGCGCGCTGGCGCCCGAAAACAAAACGGGAAAAGGAACGGCCACGCAACGGATCCCAAAAACGAAATGGCAAAACGAACAAGTCCTTCTGGCCGCGCCAAGCCCGCCCGCCACGGCTGACAACCGAACACAACCAAAAGCAGCCAGGGAAGGGGTAGCCGAAACGCCGAGCGACTGAGGGACAGCCTGGGGGGCCAGGCGCGACGAGAGCAAACAGACGGACAACCGACGGCCAATCGAACATCATTAATCAAGACCAGCAAGGGGGGGAGGGGCAGCCGAGAGACCGAGCGACCGAGGGGCGGCCGAGGGGCCAAGCGCGAAAAGGGCAACCGACGGACAACCAAACATAATCAAAAGCAGCCAGGGGAGGGACATGCGAGACGCCGGGCAACCAGGGGCTAGCCGAGGGGAGCGGCGCGACCAGACAAACCGACGGACAACCGACGGACAAGCGAAAACAACAACAAACCAGCCAGGGAAGTGGCAGCAGAGAGACCGGGCGACCGAGGGCAAGCCGAGGGGCCAGGCGCGACCAGAGCAACGGACGGACAACCGAAAGCAACCCCAAGCAACCCGAGCCAGCCAAGGAAGGGGCAGCCGAAGGGCAGAGCAACCGAGGGCAAGCCGAGGGGCCAGGCGCGACCAGAGCAACCGACAGACAACCGAAGACAGCCGCAAACACCCAAAACCAGCCACGCAAGGGGCGGCCAATGGTCCGAGCAACCAAAGGCCAGCAGGTAAGGCAAGGCGCAACCAACGGACATTCGACAACTACGACGAACAACAACAATCATCTAGGGAAGAGACAAGCACATCCAAGATGTAGATTAGTCTTGCGCCCGCCCGCAAACAAAAATGTAACAGTATCGTTTCTTGAGGTAGGCGCTTAAAGTAGATTGGGAGCTGGGAATATAACAATACATATTTTCAAAAACCGATGTGCAGCGTGCAGGTTCTAATGCTTCACAATGATCTTGCACTGCGCTTGACTTTCTCGTAGTTGCTAACTGTCAAAACGGGCTGACGATGGGCCGGTATCGAGGCTCGAATTCCCCTTCCCCTCACCACCTCCGACCTCCTGCTTCGCCCGCCGCACTCGACCCACCACACTGAGAGCTGTTTAGGGCAGGGGCGGGGGAGGGGGGGCGAGCGGAAGGGGCGGGGGCCGACCGACTTCGGGAGGCGTCGACATCCCCACCCCCTCCCCCACGCCCGCGGCAAGCAGCGCCACAGGGCGTGACTGGACACCCCAAATCTTCGCGCGCCCGGGGTCGGGATGACGTGAGTTCACAAGGAAGTCGATTCAAAATGCTGACCTCCTCTCCCCCAGCCCCCCCTCGCTCAGACTGCCCCCCCCGAACCCACCCGCCCTTCCTGAAAGCTCTTCATTAAGCGGGGGAGGGGACGGGCAGGGGGGGCGGGGGCCGACCGATTTCGCCCGGACCTCCCGCGCGAAGCTGCCAAGGTGACACGGCGCCACAGGGAGCGACTAGACACCCCAATTATACGCGCGCCTGGGGTCAGGATGCCGTGAGTTCACAAGGAAGCTTGTTCAACTTATTGAGGCTGCATGGGTAACAAGGGGGCGTTGCAACCGCACGCGTGGACGACTATCAACGTGACCGTGGAGTCTGATTTCATAGGTACGGTCGGAAGCTCTTGCTTAGCGAGTCGCTGCGGCGGCACCAACGACACGCTGCCCTGCAAGCGGATAGCGTGTCGCTCCGCTCCGCAGGGCGCGAGGCCGGAAAAGGGCTCGGGTCGTTGACGCCTGGGGACTGGGGTGTGGATAGCCTCTCGCTCCGAAGGCGCGGTGGGCCAGAACCCGCGCCGCGACACGCCAGTCAAAAGATCCTGATTGTACATGGGCAGAGGGCGGTGCAGCCTCAAGCTCGGTGGAATCTATACGGCAGGTTCGTGTCGTGCCGACCCCAGCGTTGGTTTTTGACACCGCAGGGATCGTTCAACCTTGAACGATCGGCCGTTCCCGCAACGTCCAATCGTTCAACATCGACCGATTCTGGGTCGCCCGCGGCGTTCAACCTTGAACGCCCGCGCTGGGGTCGCCGCTGGTCGACACGACGCAAACCTACCGTACGTGATCGTGGAGTCTGATTTCGCAAATCCGCCGGCCCAACGGGCCAAGGGCGTGCTAAGATCTCCGGTAACTGGTCAACGATGTTCTAGTGCGCGCGCGCGCGGGGCCGCCCCTGGGTGTCCCCGGACGCAAAGTACCCCGGGACACCCCCGGGACACCCCCGGGACACTCGGATCAGAGATGCCAGACCGGGCAATGTTTCGACACCCCTCACGAGGATCGTGGCCTCCGAGGGGAGGGGCGCAATCGACTACCCCCCCTCCTGACCTAAGAGGTCCCCAAGACTGCCCAAGAGGCCCCCGAGACGCCCAAAGAGCGCTCCAAGACGCCGATGATGACCCCAAGACGGCCCAAGAGGCCTCCAAGTGGCCTCCAAGAGGCCTCACAAGAGGGCCCGAGAGGCCAAAATCATGCATTTTACTATGGTTTTGGACGGATGTTGGCCTTGTCGCCTTTTCGGCCATCCGATGCTCCAAGACGGCCCAAGAGGCCCCCAAGAGCGCCCCAAGACGGGCCAAGAGACTTCCCAGAGGGCCCCAAGAGGGCCCAAGAGGGCCCCGAGACGGCCCAAGAGGCGCCCAAGACTGCCCAAGACGGCCCCAAGACGGCCCCAAGAGGGGGGCCACGAACCGAAAACTCTAGCCCTCCGCCCCAAGAGGGCCCCAGGAGGCCCCGAGAGGCCCCCAAGAGGCCCCCAAGAGGCCCCAAGATGCCGCCAAGAGGCCCCCAAGAGGCCCCAGGAGGCCCCCAGGAGGCCCAAAAGAGGCCCAAGAGGCCCCAGAAGTTCAAAAATGCCGCCCAGGCTCCCCGAACGGCTTCTCGAGACCCCCAAGAGGCCTCCCAAAGAAGCATCTTGACGACGACCCTATTTGGCCCCAAGAGCAACACAAGATGCCAACGAGAGGCTTCCTCCTCTGCCCCTTCCCCTTCCTCCTCCTCCTCCTCCTCCTCCTCCTCCTCCTCCTCCTCCTCCTCCTCCTACGTATATTCATCCTCCTCCTCTCCTTCTCATCCTCTCCTCCTCCTCCCCTCCCCTTCCCCATCCTCATCTTCCTCCTCCTCGGCGGCGCCACAATGGCCTCGGGCCCACGGCGAAGCAGTTGCGATCATGCAACATGGGTCGGCGGAATGAGCGAAGCGATTGAATAATGCAGACCACGTCACTCCGATCCTCCCAGCGCCACGTGCGCGGAACACCCAAGGACCCTAACCCCTCCAGCGAGCGCTCGCCATGCTAAGAGAGAGTGCAGGCATAGATTGGTAAGGACTTAAGTATGGAAAAACAAGAGGAAAGAGATGATGATGCTGTTGCTGCTGATGCTGCTGAGGATGCTGCTGAGGATGATGGCAGCGATGATGAGGAGAAGGAAGAGGAGGAGGAGGAGGAGGAGGAGGAGGAGGAGGAGGAGGGGCTTCGGAGGGGAGGGTGTGTTGCGGTATCAGTGATGAGTGGTGGACGTTCTTGGGTCATCCAGCTCCTGATCTTCCTCCCCCCATCTTCCTCATCATCCTGCCACTGTCCTCCTCCTACTCCTCCCCCACCCTCCTCTGGTTCCTCGTCCTCCTCATCCGCATCCTCCCTCTTCACTTATCCCTTCCACAACCTCCCCCTGTTTCTTCTCCCTCTGGCCAGCTCTCTATGTTCGTGCAACGTTCTTCTCCTCTTGTTTTATCCTCCTCATCCACTTTATCATCCTCATCTTCATATTCCTCCTCCTTCTTATCTTCATCCTCGCTACCACCGCTCCAACTCCATCATTGCACACAAAAACAACTGCCGCTGACGCCATCGCATGCACCCGAGCATATGTGGCGAACACAAAACAGCATGCAAGTGACAAAATCCCTCTCCTCATGCATGATCACCGTCCTCTATACTCGTCCTCGGCCTCGTCATCGTCGTTCACCTCCTCTCTCGCTCATAGTTTCTGGTTTCCTCCTCCCCCACCATGATAATTTCCCTTGCTTCCAACAACTTGCTAACCACCATTCACATCACCATCCTGCCCTGCCTCCTCCTCCCCCTCACACATATTCGTCCTCGGCGTCATCGGCGTCCTCCTCCTCCTCCACCTCATCATTCTCATCCTCCTCCTTCTCCTCCTCGCCATCCTCCTTCTCCTCCTCCTCTTCCTCTCCATCTCCTGCCATCCTCCCACTTACTATGCTTACCCTCGTCAACATCGTCGTCGTTGTCCGCCTCATTTCCCCCATTTATCGTCGCTATCCGCCTCATTTCCCTCATTCATGACTTCTCGTCCTCCTCATTATCTCCTCCTTCTCCTTCTCCTCCTCCCCCTCATTAGATATTACGTTCATGTCCCCCATTCCCCATATTTTCCCCCCATGGGAGAGAACAACATAATAGCTGACCAAGCATGCCAAGGCATCAGCTCCTCACTCCCGGCCAGCATCGAGACCACTGCCAAACGATTCCTGACACACGACAGGGCCGTCACTTAAGCACCAAGTTGGCATGACATCCATTGGTTTGCAGGTGAGCCTGGGCTGAAAACGCTGGAGCGCGCTCGAAGATACGTAGCCAATCTGGCAGGGAAGATGTAGACCGTGCAAGATGACCGCCATACACGTAAAAGGCATTGCGACCGCTTGGGAGCACACGCCCTCCGACAAACAGCCTGCACAGATGTTTCCCCCCTCACATGAAAAGTGGCTCAGCTGTTTGCAAGCCTGGAGCTCCCCCGGGCAAGGATCCTCATGGGTCCTCCCAGATATCGTGGCTGTCGGTGGCGAATTGCGGAGCGCCCAGGGAGGGTGCACGTTCTGGGGGGGCGCTGGTCGAGAACGGCTCACCACCACCACCCTTGAGACTGACTGTGACTCAGCTGCTCCTTGAGGTACTCGATCACGTCCCGCAGCTGCTTCTTCTCATCGTCCTCGTTGGTCTCCGCCTCTTGGGCTGCAGGATTCTCGAATGGAGCCAATGCGCTGATTCGCACGCACACGCGGGAAGCATCCGCGATCTGTCGCATGCTGCATGGCTGGTCGCCCTGCGCACTAGAGAGAAAGAGAACAAAAAAAAAACGAGAGACCGAGAGAGAGAGACCGAGAGAGAGAGAGAGAAAGAGACAAACAACAAGAGCACGTCATGTTCTGATTCCTGCGCCTCCTCTTCTCCCCACACCTCCCCTCCCCTCCCCACCCACCAGCCCGCCCCTCCCCTCCCTTCCCCTTTTCTCCTCTCTGCTCTTCCCCACTTCTCGCGCCCTCCCCCCCTCCTCACCTCACCCTTTCCCTCCACGCTGATATCGCACCGACGACTGCGCCACCCTGCACTGAGCTCTGCGCCCGAACTGACTGCACCGACCACGAGAAAGCACCAGCGGCCGGATGATCAAGATGACGAGAAGGAGAAGCAGGAGGATGAAGGAGCAGGAGGAGGAGGAAAAGGGAGGAAAACGGAGAGGACAGGGGGATGGTGAGGGGAAAGGAGAAAGCGAGGAGGAGCGATCCGATGCTGTGCCTGAGCCCGTGCTACGCAAGCCGAGGGCAGGCAACGAATAGAGGCCAACTTGCCGCCAGCTGGGGACTGAACCGAGGCAGGTTGGTGCATTGCGTCCTCCTCCTCCTCCTCATCCTCCTCATCCTCCTCCTCCTCCGCCCCTCCATCGTCTCCAGCGGCGTAGACCAGGCAAGTGGGGGACTGAGACCTCAGGCTCAGCCGCGCCAGCTCCTCCCGCAGAAAAGGACGCCTTGGCATGGGCGCTCGGCCACTACTCGCTACAGGCATACAACGCACCCAAACTGCAGATCAAGTGAACATGCACAACTCACCAAACATGCACGGGCCCGGGCCCAGGCCGCCTCCCCCCCTATGGACGGGAGCGGCCGGGGGAGACGAGGGGGAGAGTAACCAATGAAATCGCAGATCGGTTCCCGAGACCCTACGTACAAACATAAGGGTTGCCATCTGTTGGGAGACCGAATTTGACTTCTGCTGGCTTTCGCCAGCCTTCCGCCAGCGGAGGCGGCCTCGTGCCTCGTTTTACTTCCGCCAGCTTCCGCCGAGGAGGGGATGACAACTCTTTGGATCCTCGAAGGCAAGGCATGGTCCTTTGTGGAACGCCACATTTGGAACAATCATTTCTCGGTCCGTACCCTTGCGTGGAGCACGCCTGCAATGGCGCCGTGCAGACCACGCATTCACTCCTGGCTGCGAACGCGCGTGCAGCTTTCGCTGGGCAGGGGGAGGCAGGGGAGGGAGGGATTCCATCAAGGTAGGCAGCCCGGCGCAGTGGAATAATTCAGTCGTGGTCAAGGCCTTTGACCTGTCGGGATACCACTGGGTGCCTGTGGGGGATTCTCCTCGTTCCCCAAAGGGGCTGCCGCACCATGGGGTGCCATTTTTCGGGGTGAGGGGCTATAGACAGGCGGGGAGGGAACCAGGGATGGGGGGGGGGCAGGGAGGGGGGGAGGCAGGGAGGGGAGGCAGGGAGGGAGAGGCACAGGCAGGGAGGTAGGGGAGGGAAGCAGAAATGGGGGGGGGGGGGGCAGGGAGGGAGGGAGGCAGGGAGGGAGAGGCACAGGCAGGGAGGTAGGGGAGGGAGGCAGGAATGGTGAGGCAGGGCGGAGGGGGACGCAGGGGGGGAGGAGGCACAGGGAAGGCGCAGGAACGGGGCAGCCCAGCCGGCTCGCAAGAGGAGCTGACAACGGGCCGCGGCCTCCGCGGGAGCCTCCTCGGCGATGCCGTCCTTGGCCTCGGCCTCCTCGCCGCCCGTCTTGAGGGCGAGCTCGGTGGACGTCTCGCCCTTCTTCTCCGCCTTTGCTCGGCGGCGTGCCGGGGGGGGGTGATACGGAACAGGCCTTCTCAGAGGGCGGCGGGGCTTCTCAGAAGCCCTCGCACCCTCCGAGGAGTTTGCTGCGTCTTCGGCGAAGGTTTCGAACATCCCGCCAGCCCTCTGGGCACGAGTGGTGTAGGGAGTCTCTTCTTCGACCTTCCCCTCTTCCCCCTTCAGGGAGGGGTCTGCCCCTCGCCCTGCCCCCTCCCCCTGGACCTGGACGGGGCGCCCCGCGACCGACTGGAGAGTCCAAGATTGCCCAAGATGGCTTCAAGAGGGCCTCAGAAAGCCCAAGATTACCTCCAAGACGGCCCAAGATAGCTCAAGATGGTGGCCTCCAGGGTGATCCACGAGGCTCCAAGACCGCCTCAAGACGGCTCCAAGTGGCCTGCAAACACCCAGAAGAGATCATCAAAGAGGCCAACATCGCTCCCAAACCAAAACCAAGTTATGTGTTTGTTGCCTTTTAGCCTTTTTCGTTTCCGATGGCCTGCCGAGGCCTCAAATTTGCTCCAAAATGGTCCAAGAGGGCTCCAAGGCGGCCTAAGAGCGCCCAATAACGCTCCAAGAACGCGCCAAGAGGTCGCCAAGAGGCGACTTTGGAAGCTCTACAGGGGCGCCGCTGATTAAGGCTCACCCCTCTTTGATCGATATCGTCCAAGATGGTCCTAAGAGAGCCGTTAATGCCCTCAAGAGTGCCGCACGATGGCCCCAAGATGGCCCCACGTGGGCCCCAGGAGGCCTCCAGGAAGCTCCCAAGAGGCCCCCAGGAAGCTCCCAAACGCCCCCCCAAGGAGGCCCAGACAAGGTTACGAGAGCCGCCCAAGAGTCCTGAGAACCTCCCGGGACCGCCAAGAGACCTCCCAAAGGTCCCAGCATACCTCGAGGAAAAGCCCCGAAGATCACGGAGCGCGCCGTGGGACGAGCACTCGGCCTCAGAGGCATCCGGCAGGCCTCAGAACCCCATTTGTGGTCGTCTTCTTTTTTTTTTATTCCCCCCGGTAAACCTACTCCACGAACCCTTTTCCTTCTTACCACATCCGTCCTCTTTCTTGCAGCGAGAACGGCCGCCAGGCTTTGAGCCTGCACTTCCATGACCGCCTCAACTCGCATGGGCGTCGTTTTTGGACGGGCAACCGCTAGTCGCTGTGATTCGCATGCTTGTTTCGTGCTGTTCCTACTGGGTGGGTTTACGATGGCCACCAGAGGTATTCAGATACGTGTTTTCTGTTCTGGTCAGTCGCGATCCCCTCTCACCCTATCAACCTATATCTCTTGTTCTCGTAATAGTTCATTCGTGTTTGTTTCTTGCCCTTCCTGTTCCACCATGTATTCCGCCGTTCTTCTCGTATGTGTGTTTGACATTTCCTTCGCTGCAACTCTTCCCACTTTTCTTCATCCCCCATCGTCATAATACTCCACATCTGCCCGCCGCGTCTCCTTTTTCCTCCTTCTCCTCGTCCCTTTCCCGATATCCTTCCCCTTCCACCTGTTCCTACTCTCCCCCCCAAAACCCCCTCCTCACACGCATTCCTCCCCATTCCGAAGGCTGGCCAGAAATTGATTGGGGTTGCTCTCTCTCTCTCTCTCTCTCCTTCACCTTCTTCGCACCTAGGCTAAGGATTACCAGCTGAGCATGGCTCAGGACAGCCTCCGACAGTCTCGAGCCAAGCACGGCTCAAGACAATTTTCGAAAGGCCTCACGAAGCCTTCGATCGTGTGTGGACGGGCTGGTGGGGGTGTTTTTTTTGTCCGCGGGCGCGCGCAATGAGTCGAACGCCGAGCGCGCCAGGGCGGGCCGCGCCGGTAGCGAAGTGAAAAGCAATGCAGGCGGCACCGCGCGGAAGAACCGCAATACCAACCAGGCGGCGGTCAGCTGCCGAAAAACGTGCCGGCGGCGAAAAGCACGTGAGCACCGCAAACCTGTCGAACAAGAAACACATGAAGCGCCCCGAAAGCACGAGGAGAACGGCGAAGGGGACGGAGGCGGAGACGCAGCCACAACGGCGCGGAAGAAGACCCACATGTGGCCGTAGTGCGGGTTGCGGTGCCGCGCATGTGGACCCCGAGCCAGACGAAAAGGCACAAACGGCGTGCCCCAGGTGAGCAGGAGGTCGAGCGTGTAGGACGTTGGCCACGTCAGGCGGCGGCTGTATCCATGTAGCCGTGACCGGCGCGCACCCGAGGCCAACGGACAACCTTGTCGAACAGGTAATAATTCAAATTGCCGTCGACCGACACCGTGGACCCCACGTGCACGAACCTGGAGACAAAGAGGACGGGCACAAGAAGACCGTGAAAGTGAGCGTCGCCCATCAGGTAGCCCGAGGGTGGAGCTCAGCGCGCACCCGAGGCCGCGGGACAACCTTGTCGTACAGGTAGGACTTCAGATGGCTGTCGGCCGACACCGTGCGCCACACGTGCACGAACCTGACGACAAAAATGACCAGCACGAGAGGACCGTGCAAATGAGCGCCGCCCATCAGGTAGGCCGAGGGGGGAGCGGCGGGATGCCATGCGGAGGCCGGCGCCCGCAAATGCCTGGGACGTGACGCCTGGGGCGCAGCGGGCCACTGGAAGGGATGGGGCCCGCCCGACCGGACAACCAACCTGAACCCCTGCGGCCATCACGTGGTGGGACGGACGGGTGCGAAACCCCAGAGGAGCTGGTGCCATACCAGCGGGACCAACCCAAGAGGCTCATTGGGGGCAGCTGGTCACCGCAAGCACTCGAAAAGCCTCGGCAGGGGGATGCTCGTGGTAAGCAGCTGATCGTTGCAAGCACTAGAAACAAGAAAAGCCTCGTCAAAGGAATACCCGTGGTAAGCAGCTGATCGCTGCAAGCACTCGAAAAACCTCGGCAGAGGAATACCCGTGGTAAACAAGAAACGCGGATCGATTCGGCTTGAAGGGACGCAGGAAGACGGGATCAAGGGCTCTGGTCGCAATACTTCCTGGCGCGCGGCTCTCAATCGTTCCTTTTGCAAATGCTCTGACAGCCTCGGCAAAGGAATACCAAAGGTGGACAGGCAGCTGATCGCTGCAGATACTTTGATGACCTCGGCAAAAGTAGGGGTGCAGGCGGCGGGGAGCCCTGCCTGCTCAGGAGGAGTGTTCGATGACGTCGGTGCCGAACAACTCAGCAGCTGTAGCGGCAGGGGCGGCAACCTGGGCCACAGGTCGCCAGATGGCCGGCTATCGCTGCATCCATCGGCCTCCGCTGCGCTCCCCCCGAAGCGTGCAAAGCCGCTGCACCGGGGCAGCGGCCGAAGCGGCAGCTTGGGACGCTGCCACTGGTCGCCCAGAAGCCTGCTGTCGCTGCACCCGTCGGCCTCCGCTCCATCCCGCCGCGGCGCACCGCGCAAGCTGCGCTGTCGCTGCTGTGTCGGGGCCAGCTCCACCAGTAAGTCCCAGCGCCCTTGCGAGACGATGCGAAGCCCGGCCGCAGCCTCAACGCCACGACGAAAGATTTGGAAGAGGCCCCCCACGTCCGAGAGCACGACCGCGCCAGCGCTGGTCGCGCGCTGCCGGACCTTCTCTGCCAATGCTATCGGCACCAGAGGGCGGGGGCCGCGATGAGGGCACGGCGTCCACGAAGGGACGTCGGGACGCTTGCCGATAGATGTAGCCGGCGAGCCGCCTCCGCGCGGCTGCACCTGGCGCTGCCCCGCGCCGCGGCCTCTAGGGCTTGTCGCTCAGGGCGCTGGCAGCGTCGAGCGATTCGTGCGCAGCCCCGCCGCCGGCAACGGGGTCGGTCGAGGAGGTGGGCGGGGGGGCGGTTGCCCTCTCCTGCTTGCACCCCGCGCTTCTGTTCCAACGTCCGCTCTGTCCCCAAGTCGTCGGCGTCGGCGTCGGCGTCGGCGTCGGCGGCGTCGTCGTCGTCGTCGTCGTCGTCGTCGTCGTCGGTGTCGGCGTCGACATCGGTGTCGGCGTCGACGTCAGCGTCGGCGTCGTTGGTCGTCTGCCGCCTGTCACACCCCGCCAAGCCGTCGACGCTGCCGAGCACCAGGTTCCATCCCGCGGGCGGCGAAGGGGCTGGAGGATCGCGGGTTCTCAGGGCCAGGCCCGGTGTCCACCCGCTTTCAGGCAGACGCACCAGCGTCGCACTCTGGCCGCCGTGCCGTCGCTCCTTAGCGCTGGGATTCGCACTGCTGCAGGGGAGGGCAGTGTCTCGAACCGGCTCGACGAGGCGCAAGAAGATGGGGGTCGAGGGCCCCAGTCGTGTTGTTTCCTGGGGCGCGGCTCTCGATCGTTCTGTCTGGATGGCCGCGGCCTCCGTCGTCTCGTGCCTGCGACGGAGGACCCGCCGCTTCGCCAGGGCGGTCCGTCCCCAGGTTGTCGGCGTCGGCGTCGGCGTCGTGAGCGTCGTGGTTGTCGTCGTCGTCGGCATCGGCGTCGGCGTCGTCGGGGTCGTCGTCGTCGTCGTCGTCGGCGTCGGCGTTGGCGTCGGCGTCGGCGTCGTCGGCGTCGGCAGCTGCGCCTTCGGGTCCTTGCCAGGCCCGTAGAGGGCGAAAAGGGACACTGGGAGTTGGGAGTGATGCCGCTTTCCGATGATTCCCTTGGTATGCCGCGCAACAGGGGAATTCGTATCTTTCTTTTTCCTCCCAGGGCGTGCGACTGATCGCCGCAAGCACATCGTCACGATTTGCAGCGCCCCTGAATTCTTTCCCGGGTGAGCGACTGATCGCCGCAATCGCAAATGAAAGTGGGGCCTCGGGACTCTCCACAGGGGGTGGCGGGTGGACTGGAAGGTTGTTACCATCCTCTACCCTGGGTGTGCGAATGATCGCCGCAATCACATTGTCATGATTCGCGACAGTCCTTGATCCTTCCCTGGGTGAGCGACTGATCGCCGCAATCGCAGGTGGAAGAAGGGCCTCGCGACTCCCCACAGGGACATGCGGGTGGGCGGGAAGGTCGTTACGATCGGATCGATTTGGCTCAGTGGGCGCAGGAAGATGGGTTCGACGGCCCCAGTCGTGCTGCTTCCTGGGGCGCGGCTCTCGATCATTCTGTCTGGATGGCCGCGGCCTCCGTCGTCTCGCGTCGGTGGCGGAGGACCCGCTGCTTCCCCAGGGTGGTCTGTCCCCAGGTTGTCGGCGTCGGCGTCGGCGTCGTGAGCGTCGTGGTTGTCGTCGTCGGCGTCGGCGTCTGTCCCCAGGTCGCCGGCGTCGGCGTCGGCGTCGTCGGGGTCGTCGTCGTCGGCGTCGGCGTCGGCGTCGGCATCAGTGTCGGCGTCGCCGTCGGCAGCTGCGCCTCCAGGTCCTTGCCAGCCCTGTAGAGGGTGAAAAAGGGACAGTGGGAGCGATGCCGTTTTCCGATGCTCCCCTTGGTGTGTCACGTGAGAACGGAGAAGCTTCGTCTCTTTCTCGTCCTCTACCCTGGGTGCGCGACTGATCGCCGCAAGCGCATCGTCACGATTTGCAGCGCTCTCTGTTTCTTGCCTGGGTGAGCATCTGTTCGCAGGAATCGCAAATGGAAGAGGGGCGTCGGGACTCTCCGCAAGGGGTGGCGGGTGGACCAGAAGGTCGCTCCCGTCCTATACCCTGGGCGCGCGACTGATCGCCTCCTTGATTCTCCCCTGTGTGAGCGACTGATCGCCGCAAGCGCAAATGGAAGAGGGGCCTCGCGACTCTCCACAGGAGGTGGCAGGTGGACCGGAAGGTCGTCGCGATCGGATCGATCCAGCTCGAGGGGGCGCAGGAAGACGGGGTCAAGGGCTCCGGTCGCAATGCTTCCTGGAGCGCGGCTCTTGATCATTCCATCTGAAGCGCGGCCCCCGTCATCTCTACCAGGTGCCTCCCCAAGGTCGCGACAGGGCAGAGCTGGCGCACTATACGCACGGTCGTCTCCCCCAGGGGTGCGACCGATCGTAACAAGCACACTGACATGGCGCGACGCGTTCCGGGGCCCCTCCCAAGGCGGGCGTCTGACGGCCACGATGGCAGGAGGAGCGGGGGGACTCGCGGCTGGCAGCGCGACCGATCATCGCAACTGTATCGGGTAATCGGTCTTCCCCAGGGTGGCGGCTGATCGTCGCAAGTACATCGAACATAAGCGGATGACCACGGCCTCCGTCGTCACGTGTGTGCGACGGAAGAGCCGCCGCTTCCCCCTGCTTCAGCTCTCGCTCAGGCTCCCTCAACTCCAGCTCCTGCTCAGGCCCAGGTACGGTCGGGGAGCAGTGGGCCGCGGCGGCCGCCACCGCAGCGGCGGCAGCGCCGGCGGCCGAAGCAGCGGCGGGCAGGCCGGGAGGCGCCGGGGCCGCAGCGCTAGCGGGCAGGCCGGGAGGCGCCGCGGCGGCGCCGGCGGCGCCAGCGGCCCACGCGGCGACAGCAGCGCCGGCGACGCCCGCGGCAGCCGTGGCGCGGGGAGCGCCGGCGGCGCCAGCGGCGCCAGCAACGCGAGCCGCCCGCGCGGCCGCCCACTGCCGCCGGCGTCGCGCCGCGGCAGACACCATCGGCGCCGGACGTGCCCGCGCCTGGTTGGGGGCGTGCTCGAGCCCTGACCCCAGAGGGAGGGAGACCCCCAGGAGACGGCTTGAGCCAAGGGGTCTACGGACGGCTGGTGGGAGTATTTTTTTTTATTTGCGGTTCCAAGGACGATTCCAGAGAGCGGGTCGTATCGAGCATGGGGCAGCACGCAAGATAATGGCCAGCGGGCCAAAGCCAACGCCAGAGTGCACCTGAGCCAGAGAGGGCTGGTGGGAGTACGCGATGGAGCGTCAAGAATTTCTCAAAAGGCTGGAGGCCTTCCGAAACTTCTGAAAAGGCCCGCCCCTTAATTCCCCCACCGCCGATGTATTGGGCCAGACAAGAGAGTGGGGGTCATCGCCAATGCGGCTGGCGAGTGGGCTGGCGCCCAGGATGCATCGTTGTTCCATGTGATATTCGTGGGCGACATGCGCAAAAATGGGGAAGAGGGGGGGCGCCGACGACGGCGAAGAGCAAGGAACAATGAGGTGCGATGTGGCACATGCCTACGCCTCTGAGGAGGCCAGGTAGATGCATGCAGAGGGTGAGAGGGCCGTGGCGGGGTAGCAAAGGAGGGTGGCAACGAATTCTAGAGAGCATTTGACGGAAACTGTGTTGGTCGCCCCCCATGGCGCCCACTAGCGCACAAAGCGGGCACAAAACAGATCTCTCTCATGGCGTCATTGGCCGCTATCGGCTGCTGCTGGAAGCTGCTTGAGCGCTGTCCGGCGCTGCTGGATGCTGTCGGGCGCTGCGTGGCGCTAGTTAGGCTCTGTTCGCCGACGTACATTCAATCTCAGACGAACGGGAGCTTCCGTGATTGACTATCCAACGCATCATCTCACGCGGCTGATTTGCCTGGCGCCTCCCGGCGCAGGAGGCGCCACCGCACCCAGGAAGTCAAGTCGCCCAGCGGCGGAAGCGAAACCAACTGCACTCCACAGATGTCGCAGCCTCCCCTTTCCGTACCCCCCTGTCGGAAACAACTAGACTGAGCCAGGCTGACCTCGGTGAGCTGATCTGGGCCAGGCTGAACTCGTCCGGCTGATTTCTGCCACGCTCAGCTCGGCCAAGCTGAGTTCGGCCCAGGCCGAGTTCAGCCTGGCCGAGTTCACTTCGCGAGCTTCGCCTCGCCGAGTTTCGCCTGGCCGAGTCTGTCCCTTGTCTCCCCTCCGACCCGAGCCTTCGACCCCTTGTTCTGGATCTTGTACACCTGGACGGCCGGTCACGGGCGCGGCTGGGCGGGCAAGGGGGAGAAAGAGGCACGGCGCGGGCGGCTCTGCGGCGCCGCGGGCGCCGCCCTGGGAGAGCTCTCGGAGCGCCGAGCACGACGGCTGCAGCCGGCAGGTGGCCGAAGGGCAGGGGCAGGAGGAGGAGATGAGGGGGGGAGGGAGAAGAGGAGGGGGAGGGCGGGAGGCGGGGAGGAAGGGAGGGGGAGGAATGGCAGCGGGGGATCAGCGGCGGGGGGGGGGCAGAGGATGGTGGAGCAGGAGAGTGAGAGGGACAATTAGAAGGATCATGGAGGAGGGACTAGAGTAAACTCAAGATGTCTCAACGATGCTGCAACACACCCTCCCGTCCCAAGTTCCTTTTCTCATGTAGCCATGGCGCTGCGCGAGACGCTCCTTTGAAATGCAGTGCGAGAGCTCCGATTTGAAAAAGGGCTACCCTCCATCCTCCGAGCTATGAGGGATGCGAGAAGTTGGGAACATGATATTCATGGAACTGTCTAGCGACAACCCCGTTTTGAGAAGGGACTGCCCTCAATATTTGAGACGGCTGCACGCTTTCATATGTATTGTCACAATGCCTACGGAATTCTCAAGCTAGACCCCTATTTTGAAAAGAGGCTGACTCCCTATTCCCAAAACAGTGCTTGCACTGAAGGTTTCGCACTTCTCCTCTAAGGAACTAGACCATGTGGTCGGTCTGGCGGCTATATCGTCGCCGTCGTCTCCCCGTCGCCGCCTCGTCGCTGCCCGTCGTCTGGGCCGTGTGGTCGGTCTGGCGGCTGTCGTCGTCAGCGCCGCCCCGACGCCGCGTCGTCGCCGCCCGTCGCCTGGGCCTGTCTGTCGATTTGGCGGCTATATTGTCGCCGTCGCCGCCCCGTCGCCGCCTCGTCGTCGCTCGTCGTTTAGGGCTGCGTGTCGGGCTGGGCCGTGTGGTCGGTCTGGCGGCTATGTCGTCGCCAGCGCCGCCCTGACGCCGCGTCGGCGCCGCCCGTCGCCTGGGCCTGTCTGTCGGTCTGGCCGCTTTGGTGCCGCCGTCGCCGCCCTGTCGCCGCCTCGTCGCCGCTCATCGTTTGGGCCTGTGTGTCGGTCTGGCGGCTATGCTGTCTCCGTCGCCGCCCCGTCGCCGCCTCGTCGCCGCTCGTCGTCTTGACCTGTGTGTCAGTCTGGCGGCAAGATTGTCGCCGTCGCTGCCCCGTCGCCGCCTCGTGCCCGCTCGTCGTCTGGGCCTGTGTGTCGGTCTGACGGCTGTGTTGTTTCCGTCGCCGCCCCGTCGCCGTGTCGTCGCCGCCCAGTCGTCGGGGCCTGTCGGTCTTGCGGCTACTTTGTTGCAGGCGCCGCCCCGTTGCCGCCTCGTCACTGCTCGTCGTTTTGGCCTGTGTGTCAGTCTGGCGGCTATGTTGTCGCCGTCGCCGCCCGGTCGCCGCCGCGTCGCCGCCCCAATGCACACCATAGATTGCACCGCATAGGTTGAACCACAAGGACTGCACCACATATATTGCAACTCGAAGATTGCATTACAAAGCTTGCACAACTCATATTGCACCACATAGGTTACACCACACGTATTGCAAAACAGATGCTGTACCACAACGGACTGCACACCATGTACTGCGCCACGCACATCTGTATATAAATGTATACACTACACCACGTAAGTGCACATCAATTGCTACACCACAGAGTTTGCACAACGTGAACTGCACCACGCAGCTTGCACAATATGATGAACATCCTGGGTTTCACAACATGAATTGCACAATGTTTAATGCAACACATGGTGTGCACATCGTATATAACAGCACATAGCGTGCACAACATATATAGCATCATGCCGATGGCATCACATATACTGCACCACGTAGATTGCAACTGTTATACCGCACCACGTAGTTTGCACAGCATGCGTTGTGCCGAGCTAGTGGCAAAACATGGATTGTACAACCTAGGTTGTACAACATAAAACGCACAACGCGCATTCTCCTCTAAGAAAGATGTTGGTTTCGGCCCCCTGGTTCTCGGCCTGGCCCGGGGATGTTCAATCTACAACAGAGTATCCCCCATCGTCCATTCGAAATGTGAGTCCGTACCTTCCGTGCCAAGTCTTTATTCCCCGCCCCATCAACCCTGCCAAATAAAACTATGCGCTCGCTCTCGTTTATCAAAAACGATCATGTGTCAATAACCCCTGGCAACAGGCAGAACGATTTGCACACGCGTGCGTCGTCGCGCGCCCATGCCGAAGTCCTTCGAAAACAGTGGTCTGCGTGGGATTTCAGAAACGAGGTTCCCGAAAACATGTGGCAAACAATGGTTTTGTAACGTGTTGGTTCCCTCTGAGAACCGTCGCGTGTGATTGCGATTTTTTGGGGACACCCGTTTTTTAACATGTTCACCACATGAATCCACGCGGGCCTGTTGCGCGCGCGAGCCAGAATCACTCGAACGCCTTTGGGCGATTGCTGCGGGGGGGGGCACGATCCCTGTTGAACAACACCACGAGGGCCACCCGCGCCCCTCGGCCGCACGCGCATATCGAAATCCAGAACTTTTACCACCGACGCGTGGACACCATCATCATCGGCGTGACCAGCATCGACGCCGTCATGATTGTTTGCCGTCGTCATCGCCATCATCTTCATCAGAACCGTTTCTATCATGAACGTGTCTACTTGACCTGCCGACGTCGCCATGATACTACGCCCTCCAACGTCGCCGTCGCGCACTGAAATGCCCGCGCGACAGCGCGGCCTGCGAGACGCGCTGAGAAGTCCCCAGCGGTCAGCGCGACCGCGGCCGCGTCGGTCGCGCAAGATTAGCGTGAGCCTGCGCATGCTAGCGCCGCCGCAGCGATGGCCCAGCCAGCGCCAAGCAGTCATCACAATCGCCGCCCTTGCGGGTGGGTGGGTGGAATGATTGCGCGCAGTGGAGTTGGCAACTGCAAGTTCGGCAGGGTGAATTGCACAATATAATTTGCATTACATAAATTCCACATTGGTTGCACAACAGGGATTGTTAGAACCACACTGTTACAAGTCCACACAAGCCACTATTCGATTCTATGTTGAACAATTCCATACCTCAAAAACGACGAGTAGGTTTCGAAGAAAATCTCAATCGAGAGTCTTTTTCCACCCTCCATGCAAGTGCTTGCTTTTTGGACAAGCGTGCGCGCGCCGAGGCGAGAGCCAGGATGATGAGCGCGGTGCCCACAATAAGGGTCCAAGGGAGCTCAGGGGTGGCTCTTCGAGTGCCCACTCAACTGGGCTCCAAGAAGGCTCCTAACGATTTGTGATATACAAGGTCCCCATGGGACTCCATGAAGAGATCTCAAAGTTGTAGCCAATTAGCGTTTCTCTGCATTCTAAGCCGTAGCCTCACAAGCTATAGTTTGATCTCCTTTCTCATTTACTAATATATATATATATATATATATACACCGTGTGTCCTTCCTTTCACCGACCTACTCTTTACCATATAATACACATCATATTCTCCCAGCACTCTGCCCCATACAACATATACTCTCTATACTCTCTGCCCTGTGCCTTCTGCCTGTGCTCTCTTCTCTGCCTGCTTTCGAAGCCTTCTGAACCTGGAAGGCTCTGGGAACCCAGGAAGCCAGCCACTCAACTAAATCGGTCCGACCTTTCCGCCAAATCCTCACAACATCCTCGAGGATCCTTGCCGTGCTCTTCTTTTCGGGGGGGGACAAGAACATGTCAAAGCCTCCAGCGCCATGGCGCACCTCTGGGCAAATCTACGCAAAGGGCGCGCCGGAGATGAGGAGCGACCCCACCACTAGCAGCGCATCTGCTGGTGAGGAGGTCCACGATGCCATTCCGAGCTAAAGATTGGAGACGTCTCGAACGGGGCGCCGCGAAAGGGGGGCCTGCGGCCCTGTGAGGATCCGCGGAGGGTGCTCCCGGTGGTTTGGCCAGGAGCCTCCACGGCTCCTCGCGCTGGTGGCGGTAGCGGTGTCGCCGATCCTTGCACATACACCTCCAGCGCCACGGGAAGCCGCACCCCCACAAAGCCTCCTGCGCTGGGGCGTGAATTTGCGCTGGGCTGCACCTTCCGCGCCCACAAAAGCCATGAGAGGACGCAATCCAGCGCAACCTCCTGCAGCAGATCCGGGACGCAGCGCGGCACAAGTCTGCGGCAAGACGCGCCGTCATGCAGCTCAAATGCACAAATGAAATCAAGATGCCCCTGGCGCATAGGTCTGCGCCAGGGCGCACCCTAGTGCAAATCTGCGCTGGGGTGCGGCTTCCCCAAGTTCCGAATACAGAAGAATTTGCGTCACCACGATTCTGATATCGGACCGACGGCAATGCTCGGCGCCACCAGTGCAGAACCAAAATGGCTGCGAGCGCGGCCCAAATAAGCCACATGAGAGCCATTCGAGGAGTGGAGGCGAGAGGTGTCACATGTGGCGGCCTTGCGGGCGGCGCTCGAGGGGCCAGCACACAGCGTGCTTCGCTGGCACGTTGGCGGATTTGCTGCATGCACGTTGCTGTGCTGAAGCGATTGCGCGGGGCGTCTTCAAGTCCACTTCAGATCACGCTGATTTCTTGCGATGTTCTCAGAGCCGAGGGCGCCCACAGGATGGATGGGATAACGCAGTGTTCTGCACTCGAGTCAAAAATGAGCAGCCTGCTGTGCGTTTCACTCCGCGGCGCCACCAGCACCGTGGCCACCGCGGCCACCACGGTCACTACCGGCGCGACGGGCACTTCGCGTGGTACGACTGGCGCTTCTCTCGGGCTCGTTCGTCGACCCCGCGGGCTGTGGGTTGGGTGTCGCCCCCTGGCGGTGCCTGTGTCGGCCGCCAGCCGACGTCGGGCGCATGTCACCCGACGGATGTTGTCAACCAGCCGCTGCTTGAGAGAGGGGGATACGAGTGAGGGAGGCTTCAGTGGGTTTTCGCGGCTCTGGGAGGGGAGATGAAGCAGAAGGGGAGAGGGGGGGAAGAGAGGGAGGGGAAGAGGGAGGAGAAGAGGGAGGACGGGAAATGGGGGAGGGGGAGGAGTGTGGGGCGTGCGCCACGCCGCCGCCGCATTTGTCTATGTTCGACTTTTCCTCTTGGGGCGTCGGGGTGGGTGGGCGGGGGGCGGCGTCACCCAAATGAACTGACGGGCCGCTCAGTCGGACATGGGTTTGGGCCTGTGGGCGCGGCGCGTAAAAAGGATATTCATGAAAGGAGGATGCGCACAGAGGAGCAACAGCAGCAGATGGGCAAGCAGCACATATATATATATATACACATATCCATACATACATATACACAGCTATACGCATATCTTTGGCGTGGGAGGCATGGCCGCAGAAGGGTCCAGGCGCCTCGCCCTTACAGACGCGGAAAGGCCATCAATAAGCACCACGTCCAGGAGATTCACGCCTGAACCTTCTCACCAGCGCTCAGCAAGGAATGAAACCTGCAGCTTGCAAACGTTGGTCACAAGGTCACAATAATGATCATGTCCATTGTCTGCTGCTCGCACCTGCTATGTTGTTCTTGCTCCTGAATGCAGCAAGCTTGGCCGCAAAGTCCGACTCGGCGTCCTGAGCATCAGGCTTTCCTGTGGCACCCTGCTTTCCCTGGCCACCCTTGCCACCTTTATCCCCCTTGAAGCCATTGCAGACCTTATCACCGTTGTCATCTTGACCACTGTTGAGGCCGATTGGGAAATTTACCTTCTCTTGATTGAACATGCCGCTCATCATGGCCACGTTCCCCATCATCTGCTCCATGCCCATGCCTCCACTCTGGGCCATCAGAGCCATCTGGTCCATGCCGCCCACCTCACCCAGCTGGCCTATGCCGCCCGCCTGGACCATCTGAGCCATGGGGCCCATGCCACCCACCTGGACCATCGGGGCCATCAGGTCCACGTCGCCCACCTGAAGCGGCAGACCTGCGGCGCCCATCTGCGCCATCGGACTCGCGCCGCCCGCCTGGCTGCCCTGCTCGCCCTGGCTGGCCTGGTCGCCCCTGCTGCCCCGGCTGCTGCCTCGCAGTTCCTCTTCGCCGTGGGCGTACCTGGGGGCGGAGGAACACTTTCACGAAACGTCCCTACGCCCTCTCGTCCCCTGCCGAGTGAATTGCCCTAACATAAACAAAAAAAACGTCCCCTGCTGCCGAGTGTGGTGCGCACGTGTGATGCTGTTCTGACGCAGGCCCGCTGCCGTGCCCCCCCTCGCACGCAGGTGGCACGGTACCACGGCCGCCCGCCTGTGATTCTGGTTTGCCAGGACCTGCCTCGCTCCCAATGTCTGCCCCCCGGAGAGCTCAAGAATGCCCAAACGGCCCCGAAAGGAGCCCACGAGATAGGTAGAGGCCCCCGAGAGGCCCTGAAAGGGCCTCCCGGAGCGGGGGGTATGCGAGAGGCAACACATGTTGCACAACCTTTTTCGCCAGACGGCCGCAAGACGCCCTGAGAAACCTCACAGAGGCGCCAAGCGGCCGCAGGATGGCTCAAGAACGGCGCAAAGAAGGCCCAGGACTGCCCACGACTACGGGGTCAATGGGGGCCCCGAGACTCGGCCAGACGGCCTCAGGACAATCCGAAGCTGCAAGATGGCCAGGAGTTTCTCCGAGATGGCCCGAGTACAATCTTGAGCCAAACCGGCCACGGCCCGATGTGTCGTATATCTGTGCAGAGCCCTGTGCACGTGGATCCCGATGCGTGGCCCTGTGTGGAACCCTCGGTGTGGAGCCCTGTTTGCGTGTTTGTTGAATCCAACATGTGTGGTGGAATCCTATGCGTGGAACCTTTTCGTTTATTTCGGCCTGCGCCCTCGACCTGTCCCGAGCGAGCCCACAATCCACAGAGGGTATCAAGTAGTTTCGTGCAGCAGGCTGAACGCTGGTGGGAGCGGCTGCGGCCGCCGTAGCCGCTTGCGCACGAGGTGCAAGGGCGGCACCGGCCGGAGTCCCACGGCGGCGACGGCGAGAAACGCGCAACCAGCTGGCGGGTGAAGAACGGTATTGAACTTTTCCGTGGCAGCGACGGCAAGAAAACAAACGCACAGCATTTGGCTGGCGAAGAACCAGCTGGTGGGCGAAGAGCTCTTCCGCCACATGGGGGGCGACTGTCTCGGGGCGGCTGGAGATTTCATACCCTAAGCCGGCAGGAGGGGGTATAAACTCTCCAGCCTGGGAGAGGCGTCCCCAATGGCGCAACACTTGTTCAATACCGTTCACGCCCGCTGAACCAGGGCAGCAGAAAGAAGAAGCCCTCAGCGCAGGCACTGTGCCTATGGAACAACCTCGCCCCATTCTCACCCCGTCCAGCCCGCCCCGACCCCCTCCTCCCCCGCCACGCCCAACGCCAGACGCAGAGCGTGGCTCATGTCAAGGCCCTGTGGAGCCCAGTGCAAGAGAACTGTCGTATCCTCGGCTCTCCCAGGCGGCTCTCGAAGGTTCGCTGCACGGAGTGCTTTTGCTTTTGCTTTTGCTCGGAGGAGGCCCTACGAAGAGATTTTCGTCCTCTTCGGGTCTCCTGGGGGCTTCTCGTCGCCACGGCTGGATCCGCCTCGCAGAACGGGTCAGGATGGACCCGGGGAGTCGGATGGGTCTGGGGGCAAATCTTGAGTCTGTTATTCTGGGCGGGAGAATCGCCGTTGTCTCGATTGGCCCCCCTCTGAGTGCCGGCACTTGCCGAAGGCAACCGGATAGCTTATGCGCACCCCTGCCCCTCAAGCACGCGCGCTGCACAGGTTCAAGGCTCCGAGCACCAGCACGCCGCGCCGAAAATGCACTCGCCGTCCGCCCACAGCTTGCAGAGCTGCTCCTTGCACCCGCTGCCGTCCGCCGATCCGCTCGGCGCAGTGGATGTCGGCTGCGGCGCTGACTGCGGGACCTCTGGCGAGAGGCCCGGCGGAGATGCCAGCAGAGCGGATGGCGCACCACCGCCACCACCAGCACCACAGCAACCACCTGTCGGTGATGGCCCCGGCCCAGTGCTCAACTGGCTGCTCGGTCCGGGTGCGATCTCGACTGCGGGCATCGGTGGCGGTGGGCAGGCGGGCATCGCGCTCTGGGGCTGGCTCGGCTGACTGGAAGGCCAAGGGTCCAACTGCATGTCCAAGGCTGCCATGGCAGCGGCAGAAAGCCCGCCGTCCTTGCCGCCACCTTTGGTGCCCTTTCCGCCGCCAGCTATGAAGTCGACGCCCATGAAGTCGCCCCCCATGAAGCCGTCCTTGCTGCCCTTCCCGCCGCCACTTAAGAACTCGCCGCCCATGCAGCCGTCGTTGCTGCCTTTCCCACCACCACACGAGAAATCGACGCCCAAGATATCGCCGCCCATGCAGCCGTCCTTGCTGCCCTTCCCGCCGCCGACCATGAAATCGCACCCGCCTGTGCAGCCGTCCTTGCTGCCCTTCCCGCCGCCACTAATAAAATCGCCGCCCATGCAACCGTCCTTGCTACCCTTCCCGCCGCCGTACATGAAATCGCTGCCCATATAATCGCACCCGCCAGCGCAGACGTCCTTGCTGCCTTTTCCACCGCCGCCCATGAAGTCAACGCCCGTGAAACCGTCTTTGCTGCCTTTTCCGCCGCCGCCCATAAAATCGCCCCCCATGCAGCCGTCCTTGCTGCCCTGTCCGCCGCTACCCATGGAATCGACGTCCATGCAACCGTCCTTGCTGCCCTTTCCGCCGCGGCTCATGAAGTCGCCGCCCATGCAGCCGTCCTTGCTGCCCTTCCCGCCGCCGTACATGAAATCGCCGCCCGTGCAGCCGTCCTTGCTGCCCTTCCCGCCGCCGTACATGAAATCGCCGCCCATGCAGCCGTCCTTGCTGCCCTTCCCGCCGCTGCACATGAAATCGCCGCCCATGAAATCGCAGCCGCCTGTGCAACCGTCCTTGCTGCCCTTCCCGCCGCCGCTCATGAAATCGCCGCCCATGCAGCCGTCCTTGCTCCCTTTTCCGCCGCCCCCCATGAAATCGCCGCCAATGCAGCCGTCCTTGCTGCCCTTGCCGCCGCCCCCCTGGAAATCGACACCCATGAAGTTGCACCCGCCCATGCAACCGTCCCTCGTGCCATCCCCGCCTGCGCAACCACCCATCGCCAAGTCGCCGCCCATGTAGTCGCCACCATTGCAACCCTTGCCCATGGAGTCGGCGCCCATGAAGCCGCTTCCCCTGCTCGCAAAGTCGCCGCATCCCTTCGCGAAGTCGCCGCCTTCCTTCGTGAAGTCGCCGCCTCCCTTCGCGAAACTGCCGAATCCCTTCGCAAGGTCGCCGCCGCCCTTCCAGTCGCCGCCTCCCTTCGCGAAGTCGCCGCCTCCCTTCGCAAAGTCGCCGCCTCCCTTCCAGTCGCCGCCTCCCTTCCAGTCGCCGCCTCCCTTCCAGTCGCCCCCTCCCTTCCAATCGCGGCCTCCCTTCCAATCGCCGCCTCCCTTCCAGTCGCCGCCTCCCTTCCAATCGCCGCCTCCCTTCCAGTCGCCCCCTCCCTTCCAATCGCCGCCTCCCTTCCAGTCGCCCCCTCCCTTCCAGTCGCCGCCTCCCTTCCAGTCGCCGCCTCCCTTCCAGTCGCTGCCTCCTTTCCAATCGCCGCCTCCTTTCCAGTCGCCGCCTCCCTTCCAGTCGCCGCCTCCCTTCCAGTCGCCGCCTCCCTTGTCAGCGCCGCCCTTGAAGCCCTTGCAGCTTTTGCCGCCCTTGTACCCGCATCCACCCTTGCTACCCATCGACTTCTTCATCATCACCTCCTCTACCTTCTGGACAACTAGAGTCCTGGCGTACGCCAACTTGTCCGGCGGGCCGCGGATATGGCACATCTGCTTGCCCGGCTCGGCATTGGGGTCGAGCTCGATGGCCTGGACGAACTTGACCTTGCAACAAGCCGCTTCTCTGTTTTCCTCGTCCTCATCATCACCCTCTCCCTCGAACCCCCCTCCTGCTTCGTCGCATCCTCCTCCTCCTCCTCCATCAAAATCCTCATCATCTCCACCCGCAGCCCCTACCTTTTTCATCCAGCAGCCCCATCCAAATCCTCATCATCTGCACCCGCAGCCCCAGCCTTCCCCTCCGTCTCCACCCGCAGCCCCTACCTTTTTCATCCTTCTTTTCCTCTCCCTCATCCTCTCTCTCATCCTTGATCCTCATCCTCCCCGTCCTCCTCCTCCTGTTCCCCCTCCTCCTCCTCCTCCTCCTCCTCCTCCTCCCCCTCCTCCTCCTCCTCCTCCCCCTCCTCCTCCCCCTCTTCCTCCACCTCCTCCCCCTCCACCGACTAATGGTCACAGTCGCTGATCGCCCTCCTCGTCCTCCTCCTCCGGATCTTTCCTGAGCCCAACTTGGCAAACGAGCTCAGAGGTTACTCGAGACGGGGGCGCGGCAGGGGCAGTCTGGCGGTGTGCCGGGGGGGGGGGGCGAGCGGGAGCGGGCCCTCTCGGAAGGCGGCGGGGCTTCTCAGAGGCCCTCGCGCCCCTCTGAGCAGCCCGCGGTGCCCTCGGAGCCAACAGGCCCGGGGCCTTCCGAGCCTCCCGAGGCAGGCCCGCCCCGTCGGGCTTCCCCTCCCCCCCCCTTGGCTCGCCTCGCCGAGCCGAAGGGGGGGGCCCCACTGCAGCGCGCGAGAGCGAGGGCTCGCGCGCGCGCGCGCAGGGCCCCTCGCCCAGGATCCCCGGGACGACGCCTCGCCCAGGACGCCTTCCCCCCCCCAGGACCCCCCTTCACCCCAGGATGCCCCCCCCCCGCTCCCCCCGCCCCCCCCCCCCCCCTCCCCGCGAGCCCCGCCTGGGGCCCCCCCGCGGGGGCCCCATCGACCGAGGGGCGCGCCTGCCCGTCGCGAAGGGCCTCTCGCCTGGGACTTCTCTCGCGCGGCGCGCGGCCGACCCCAGACGCAGCGCGCCCCGGGGGAAAGGCCATCCCGTCCGCTCGCCGCCCTCCGCTCCCCCCCCCGCCTGCACCCCGCCCTGGCAGTGTTTGGCAGAAGAATGCAAAGCGCAGCAGAAGGCAAATGACACGCGAGCGACAGCGCATCGGAAGGTCCAACTGAGGGAAACATACTGAAGGATCGTCAGGATGAACGAGCATACTGAATGATCAACCTTGAGCTTGCAGAGCGCAAACACGTACATGACAGAAGTGGGAAGGATATGCCGGCGCGTGGACCCCAAACAGTGCTTGGTGGGTCGGATGCGCAGCGCGGATGCGCAGCGCATGGGCACTGGTCTTGCGCGGGACTTGCGGCGACGAGGTGTTGGAAGCGCACCCCTGTGAATTGGGGCATGGCAAGGCAGGGCTGCTGGCGGAAGCGGGCTTTGGGGGCGCAAACTCGGGCATGAGGCCCGAAGAAGGGCGGCTGGGCGGGGCCCGTGGCGGTGACAAACCTGTCTGCCCATCTCGGAAGGCGTGCAGTCCGACCTGGCCAGTTGGGGGCGGGGAATCTTCGAGCGGGGGGTGAGGGGAGGGGGTGCGGCCCGAGAGACGGAGGCTAGGCAGGGCCAGGCAGCGGCGAGCATCGTGGGCCGCATCCCCGGAGGACGGGACTTAGGCAGGGCGGATGGCGGCGGCGAGCTCTGTGGGAGTGTAGCTTAAGGCGTGGGCTTCAGCGGGCGGGAGTCGGGACAGGGGGCGGCTACGGCGGCAAAGCTCATGGGCATGCACAGCCTTGACACGTGCATCCTGAGGTTTCTTGTGTAAGAAATCTTGCAGGGGTGCTGCACGTACCCAAAAGCATTACCCCATGTTCTGATTGCTTACCCCCGCACATGCACATGTGGGCTATCCTTTGCGCGTGCCACATTATTCGACAACACCTGGGGCGCATCGCGCCGATGTGGGGTCAGATGGGGTGCCGCGAGGGGCTAAGGCAGGGCTGGGGCGGCGGGCGAGAGCGACGCGCCTCGGGGGCCCAACCGAGGGTGTGCCGGCTGCGTGATGGTCGGCCAACGCCGAAAACGACCGCAGCAGAACACGCCCATAGGAACTGTGCTGCATCCTTCTGGCGCGTACTCCAGATTTCGTAATAAAGGGAGGGGGGTCTCATTTCGGGGGGGGAGTCTCTTCCAGGCTATCTTGGAGGGCCTGGGGGGTCTGGGGACGATGTTTTGGAGGGTTCTCCCACGGGGGAGGTCTGAAATGGCTTGTCTTGGAGGGTCCAGACCCCCTCCCTTTTATTACGAAATCTGGAGTACTCGGGAACGCGGAGCACCATGATCATACAATGCAGCGAGGTGTCAAGCGACATCTCCCCCCTTTTTGGAGATGGGCCGCTCCCCGTCCAAGGAACAGTGACCCAAATTGGAATTACCCCAGCAAGGCGCCCGAATAGCAGCAAGGGTGAAGAAGCGGGTCGAGGAGTAGGAGGTCGACTAGTGAACACGTGCATCCCTAAATGTTCCCAGGGACTCAGAGGAACGATGCAGCCGGGGCACGGGGTGAGAGCAAGGCCATATGCTCTTGAGTGTATATTTTGACCAGGGGTCGTGGCCGTCCTGACCAACAGCATACCCGACATTGAGGCGAGAGCATTGTTCCAGAATGCTCTGTGAGGCGATGTGCCCCTAAGTGTACATTTTGTGAGAGATCGCGGCCGTATGTCCAGACCAAACATGTCCGGCATTGAGGCGAGAGTTGTGAGAATCGCACATCACTTCCCATGCTGGACATGACTTGACAACTCGCCAGGGCGGGACGACGGGGACGACCGCCAGGAGTCACAAAGCAAGGGAGCTGTTGTTAAGGGCGCAAAGGGGAACTACAATACGGGTACTGTGCATGGATCTTGCCTCTTCGCTTGCATGAAGTACACTCTCGCTTGATTTCGAGAGCATTGCCCTACTTTACCTATCCGATTCACCTCACGCTGCATGCCATGCTACACATTCGCAGTAGCCCATCTTACTCGCAAGCTACGTGCCCCCGAACTAACGAACAATAGCTGCCTGAATCTTCCGATGGTCCTCCTGCTCCTCTGGCACGTATCTGACTAGAGAGAGAGAGAGAGAGAGAGCAGACCTTGCAGCCAGACTCGGCGGCGATGGCGTGGAGGTTCGACCCGCCGCTGCCTATCGTCTCTGCGATGCACTCCTTGGGGACGTCGAAGCAGTCGACCTCCCACTGCTCTCTCGACCTGTTGCCCGAGACCTCCTGAAGCCGAGCATGGATCAGCACCTCGGCGTGCTGGATCACGTCCGTCGTGCCCTTTATCTCTATGACAGCCTGGCGGGTCGAAGGCATACACCGACGTCTGCTCACCTCGCCTCGTCCACCGACTCTTCATGAACAGCATGGCCCGCCTGCCCCTTCCCCTGCCCCTCCTCCCCCTCCTCCTCCCCCTTCTTCTCCTCCTCCTCCTCCTCCTCCTCCTCCTCCCCCTCCCCCCTCCTCTCCTCCTCCTTTTCCTCCTCCTCCTTCTCCTTCCTCCTCCTCCTCCTCCTCCTCCTCCTCCTCCTCCTCCTCCTCCTCCTCCTCCTTCTCCTCTGGTCCAGGGCCGTTCTGCCTCAGTCGGTGGCCGTCGTCGCCATGGCCGTCCAGCGGGAGCCAGACGGGGGCGCTTGCGGGGGCGGCTCGTCCCCCGCGGCAGGCGCCACGAGGGCCACGCCGCAGAATGAGGGCTGGCCAACTAGCTAGCCATAGATGCCACTCCTTGGAGCGGCTCCGGGGAGCCCCGCGGGGTGAAACGAATGCCCAGGACCATGACACGGGGGGGTGCAGGACCACGGAGTGACCTTCGTTGCGCGGCTGAGGGGGGCCTCGCGGGGGCCAAATCCAGGCGCGCAGGCCGGTGCTTGGGGCTCCCTCTTGAGCCCGCACCAGAAGTCACGCTGAGCTCACTCCTACGCGTAGCCGGACAAGGGCAGCGCAGTCCGACGGCGCTGCCCTCACGTCGCGCCCTCACGTCGCGCGGCGGCGGAGGCCTGGTGCGCCCGGTGGCCGCGGTGGCCTCGTCCTCAGCAGCACGCTCTGGCTGTGGCCGCGCCGCCCCTCGCGGCAGGCGGACAAAGGCGCCGCTGCTGGCGGCCCTCTTCGCTCCGAGGCCCCCGCGGGGGGGCACGGCACGAGGGCACGGCGGCAGCGCCGCTGCCTGGGCTCGGGCGGTCGTTGCGCCTGCTGCGCACGGGGGACGGCAGGCCTCGGCCCGGACACGAGCGCATCAACGACCAGCCCAGCCGATGGTGCGGGCCCCCCGCCGGCGCTGGCTGCCGTGCTCGCTGCCGCCCCGCGCGCGCCGGTCAGCTGCAAGCAGGAGTGGCCCGAGGCAGGAGTGGGCCTCTTGTGCGCGGCGTCGGGGGGCCGCGCACAGAGGCTGAGTAGCCCCAGCTGTCCAAGCGCGCCAGCCAGTGCTGGCGGGACCCCTCCCGACACGCACCAGACCCTGAAATCCGGCGTGGCGACAACAATGCAGCATCGTAAAAAATCATTCCTGGAGCCCTAGACTCCATCTTTCTGCGTCATCTTTCGAGCCGGATCGGTATGTGAGGGCCCAGGGGCCCGAAACTGAGCGAAAACGCCCAGCTCGAAAAAATGGAGCCGCCAGGAACTCAGGGGAGGTCACTCTAGCGAAGGTCCACTCTTGAGCAGGGACCGACCGTCCCGGCGGTCCTATAGGCCTACCACGAAGTGTTCTTATAACCAAAAAATGTTCGGAAAACAAGACAGTGTTCTTAGAACGTAAAGCCGATGTGTTCCAACAGGACAGCATCAGCCAGACAGGCTCGATCAACACTTCGTGCAGGCCACAAAGAGGTCCTCAGACCATTCCTTGGTGAGCCTACATGGGCGAGCCAGGACGCCTCGCCACTGCTCGACGCTTTGCTGCGCAGCCGAGCCGGAGCCCGCGGATCGCCCGCGGGCGGAGGCGCCGCCCAGGGCCGCTGCACCTGCAGGCGGCGGCCGCGGAGGCCGCGGCTCGGCCTCTCGCGGGGCCTCGCGGGTGCCGCCGGTGGCCCGTGGGGGCCGCGGGGGGCGCGCGGGCCTCGGGGGCCTGGCTCGCCGGCAGCGCCCACGGCCTCGAGGCCCGCGGGCGCTCGCGGTGTGCTGCAGAATCTGGGCGCTGCTCAGAGGGAAGGGCGACAAAACGGGGGGGGCAGACACGTGCACCTTTTGCGCCCATCTTGGGCCTGAAGGCGCCCCATTCGGGGTACAAGGGGTGCACCTTTCCTAACCCCCTCCCGTTCATCCCCCCCCCCCCCCCATTGCGCAACGCCCGAGAAGTGCGCTGCTGGCGGGTGCCGGCTTTCTGGCCTTCGTCAGGGTCCCTTGCTCGAGAGGCTGCGAGGCTGCCAGCACCGCACGGCAGCCGCTTCGTGTGCGGAGCGTGCATCCCCTCTTGCTCCGCCTCCGCGGACGCCCTCTTTTGTTCCCAACCCTCCTGCGTTGGGCACTCGTGTTGAATAGAGCACTGTGGTCTCCACCTTCCTCCTCCTCCTCCTCCCGCCTCCTCCCGCCTCCTCCTCTCTTCTCTGTGAAACTGTCGCCACTTTCGGGGGTTGCTGGGGTGCCGAGCGGAGTGACGCCCTACGGGGACTCAGATTAGACCTCGCCATCCCTGGTGGGGTTGCGATCTGTGAAACTGTCGCCACTTTCGAGGGCTGCTGGGGGGCCCAGCGGAGTGACGCCCTACGGGGACTCAGATTAGACCTCGCCATCTCTGGGGGGGCTGCGATCTGTGGAACTGTCGCCACTTTCGGGGGCTGCTGGGGTGCCCAGCGGAGTGACGCCCTACGGGGACTCAGATTAGACCTCGCCATCCCTGGTGGGGCTGCGATCTGTGAAACTGTCACCACTTTCGAGGGCTGCTGGGGGGGCCCAGCGGAGTGACGCCCTACGGGGACTCAGATTAGACCTCGCCATCCCTGGGGGGCTGCGATCTGTGAAACTGTCGCCACTTTCGAGGGCTGCTGGGGGGCCCAGCGGAGTGACGCCCTACGGGGACTCAGATTAGACCTCGCCATCCCTGGGGGGCTGCGATCTGTGAAACTGTCGCCACTTTCGAGGCCTGCTGGGGGGCCCAGCACAGTGGCCCACTGGGGGGGCTGCGATCTGTGAAACTGTCGCCACTTTCGAGGCCTGCTGGGGGGCCCAGCACAGTGGGCCCGCGGATTCAAATGGGACCTCGCCATCCCTGGGGGGCTGCGATCTGTGAAACTGTCGCCACTTTCGAGGCCTGCTGGGGGGCCCAGCACAGTGGTACCACGGCGGATTCAAATTAGACCTCGCCATCCCTGGGGGGCTGCGATCTGTGAAACTGTCGCCACTTTCGAGGCCTGCTGGGGGGCCCAGCACAGTGTGCACCCACGGCGGATTCAAATAGACCTCGCCATCCCTGGGGGGCTGCGATCTGTGAAACTGTCGCCACTTTCGACTGCTGGGGGGCCCAGCACTGGCCCTGCTCTCTGCGCTGGTCGGGCCTGCTGGGGGGCCCAGCACAGTGGGCTTCCCGCACGTCTTTCTCCTGCTCTTCGTTCCCGACTCCCCATGTCCTCTTCGAGCCTGTAGTTGTCGCCCCTCGTTCTTGTATGGTTCTCCTGCGCATCATTCCATTGGCGCGTGTCCCAAGTAGCTTACATATCAAACAACGGATCCTGCAATTTGATTGTCCGTGCAAATTTCGGCCAACTCCTCGTTCCCCATGATACAAATGGGTTGGGTACGTCACTTGGTAATTTTCTAGCTGCGCAGGCGCACACTTCGCCTGTCCGCGGGCCAGACGTCGCTCACGACCGCGCCGTGCCCAACGTCGCTGCTGACCAAAGTTTCGAGGGGCCACGCCCTCATCCGCTTTCGCCGCCTTGGGTGGGGGGGCGGGGAGGGACTGATTCTTTACTGCATGGGCCGCGACGGCCGCTCCAGACTGTGGCCTGCGGCACCTGCACTGCAGGCGTCGCGGCAGGTGAGTTCGCGACGATTCCCTCGTCAATCCTAAGGAAGTCCCAACGATTCCCTCAACAATCAATGCCGATACTCTGCAAGACATTTGCAGAACTTCGATAGGAATCCTTATTCAATTACGATGTCCTCCGGAATCCTAGAAACGATACCCTGAGGAGCCCTGAGGCTTTCATGCGGAGTCGAATGAGCTTCCCACGACACCCTGGAAACTTCTTGAACAATCCCAAATGGTACCTTAAACATTCTCAGGGTTTCATGAGGAATCCTCAGTGCATCTTCAAGAGCTGCGGATTTCCCCAGGCACCTAGGCGAACCTGGATGATTTCCGAGAAAGTCGTATGACATGCTGAAGAATTCCTTGAAGTCCCTACACGTTTCCCCAACATGCCTGAGGATTTGCGGAATAACCCAGAAGACATCCGACGGACTCCTATAAGATCCCCTCAGGACCCACAAGGAAATCCTAAGGTGTTCTTGAGATTGCCTCTAGAACCCTGAGGTGTTCCTCCAACATCCCAATGATTCCCGTGGGAATCCTTCAACTTGGACACCCGAAGTGGGTGCGGAAAAACATGGGCACGATGCCAAACAACATCTGTTGTCCCAAACCGACAGCGGCCGCTGTTGGACAGGCGGCCTTCTGTCGCAAATGGACACCTTCCCCCTGATCAGAATGAACAAGATCTGCTGCCGAGCATCGCGCCCATTCTTCCGTACCCGTGTCGCTCGCACCGATGTATGCGTTCACCGTGCGCGTTTCGCGTTGGACTCCGCCACCCAGGTGCCTCGAGGCGCCGCCTGTCGCCGAGCGAAGCCCCCGCCGATGCGGAGCAGCTGCCCCGCTCGAGGCTCCCGCCCCCCGCGCGCGCCCGCGAAGCAGTCGCGCAGCGAGGCGCCAGCCCCGTCGCGGAGCGAGACCTTACCAGCCTGGAACACACCCCTGCCCCTATGACTGGCATCGCCCGGTCTGGGTGCCGATCTCAGGGATCCCCGCGGCTCCTGCAGCGCAACCTAAAGATTACCATCGCCGATGCGCCCCAGCTGCGTCACCTCCGGGCGAAGCTCCCGCCCACACGCGCAGTGCCGAGTCGCGGAGCGAGGCGCCCCCCCCGCTGCGGAGCGAGACCCCCGCCAACCGGTCGCGGAGCGAGATCCCGCGGATTCGACGCACCCTCAGAGGGGGTCTGCAGGGGGGTCGAGGCGAGGAAGGAAGTGCTGCCTCGGGCGCAGAGGAGGCAGGTGCTGGGAAGACTGGGATTCGGGCAGCACGAGCGCGCACTGGAGCACCCGACCCCTCACTATCCCAATGAGGGGCTGGGATGCGCGCGCGGAATTCCTGGCAAATCACCCGTCCCTCCCCCTCTTTCTCCTCCTCCTCCTCCTCCTCCTCCTCCTCCTCCTCCGTCGACCTGTTCTATCTGCCTCTTCCTCCTCCTCGGTCTCCTCCTCCTCCTCCTCCTCCTCCTCCTCCTCCTCCTGAGTGGCACAATATGAATACTACTATCCTCACTTACCTGATGTTGTAATTGTTTTCTCCCGCCTACCTCCCACACATCTCTTTGCAAGCAACGCTGTGCCGAATTGGATGCGAATTGGCAGTCGATGTGAATTGTCCAACGCTCGGGGCCTTTCAAAATCAGTGTTCCCTCTGCAGCGTTGGCAACACTTCAGGATCGGCGAGTTGCCCCCGTCGTTCAGAATGATGCTCCCCCCCCCCAGCGCGGGCCACATTCTGAATTCGGTTCATTCCTCCGCGCTGCCGACCTCCTCATTTTCCCTCTTTCCGACGTCCACTGATATTCCTGATCATCCTGCTCATGCTCCTGCCGCTGCTGATCCTCATCATCCTTATCCTCCTCCTCATTCCTCATCCTCTTCCTCTCCCTCCTCCTCATATCCCTGCTCATTCGCCACCACCTCCTCCTTCTGTTCCTCTGATGTGTGTCCGCCGATCTGGCGTCTGAGTTCTCCTAGAACCTGAGAGAGCTTGTGGGAATCTTAGCGGTTCAAAATGGGGCGTTTGCTTCACTCGAGGGGTGGGTGCTGGGGGGTGGCTCTGCTGGGGTAGGGGGGTGTGGAGGGAGGGGTCTCGGAATCCCCAGGCCCTTGGGGGGGGGGGGTTGGGGTTTCCCCGGACTTCCCGGGCCTTGGGAAAATAGGGGTGGAGGTATTTCCGGGATTGGCCCAAGCCCTCTTGGGAGAGGCCCAGGGCATCTTGGGCCATCCACAACCGCTGAACGATCGGGTGAAGACGCCCAAGACGGCCTCCCGTGAAACGAAACACCGCACAAGACGTCCAAAGAGGCCTCCATGAACACCCCCAAGAGGGCCCAAATCGTCACATTCACTCAGGAGCACGTGCCTTTTTAGTATATACGACTTCTCGGCCTTCATGGCGCCCAAGGCGGCCCAAGGTGCCCCCAAGACCACCTCAAGAAGGCCCAAGAGAGACCCCCAAGAGGGCCCCAAAACGGTCCAAGGGGCGCCCAAGATGGCGCAAGAAAGCCCCAAGGCGGCCCCAAGAGGGGCACAAGAAGGGGAGCCCGAACCGATAATTCGAGCCTGCCGCCCCAAGGTGTCCCAAGGAGGCCCCAAGAGGCCCCCAAGAGGCCCCCAAGAGGCCCGAGGCCCCCCAGAGGCCCCCAAGACGCCCCAAGAGGTCCCAAAAGGCCCCCAGGAACCTTCAAACTTGCCTCCAACTCCCACGACATCCCAACGAACATCCAAGAAGCCTATGACCCATAACCCAGCCCCAGCTCAACTCCCCCCAAATACACAAACACACGCGCCAAAAGAACCAGATGACAGCTCAACAGAACCCCCAAGATCGCCAGGGTGTTGTTTACCACGCCTGGCTACTACATTACGAAGCCCCCCTTTAGATTGCGTATCACACGATGACACTATGCGGTCAACTGGGGGGATCAAGGACTTCTAGAACACCTCACGGACATACCATAATTCACCGCAGTGGGATGGGATGGTCGGGATGAGCATCGGATGTGGCGCGGTCGCACCACCCTCTCTCTCTATTCCTGCTTCCCCTCCTTCTCAGTCACCTCCTTCCTCCGTCCGTCCTCTTCGTCCTGGTCTTCCTCCTTCCCCTACTCATCCTCTATTCTTCTCCTCCTCCTTCTGCTCCTCCTGCTCCTCCTTCTTCTCCTCCCCCCTCTGTGTTTCCTCCTCCTTCTCCTCCTCCTCCTCCTCTCCCCCTCCTCGCCTCTCCTCCCTCACCGTCGTTCGCCAAGGCCTCCGCATCACCCTCGTTGTGGTTGAGCTTCACGGCTGCCTTCGACTCGGCCCTGATGAAGTTGATCCACTCCCCGCCCTTGCCGATGAGCCCGCCCTTCAGGTTGTAGGGTATGCGGACCTCCTGAGGCATGATGAGAGTGCGCACGAGGAGAGGCGGGCGAAGCGGCAAGGCCTGGTGCACATACAGACCTCGGGTGTCCAGGCAGGTCGCCGCCGAGGGGGTCGCAATTTCCCCCAGGAAATGGATACCCTGGACCCCCGAAAACCATCGGGACCTCCAATGACGCTCGCAAGCGTATCCAAACTCCTGGGCCTCCATCCTTCCTCTCTGATCCCCGATGTTCAAGAAGACGTGGTGACCCACCTTGGCGCTACCCAGACCTCGGCAGGCCCCGAGGGCACTCCAGGGTGGTCTGAACGCCTCCCGCGCCGCGGAGGAGGAGGAGGAGGAGGAGGAGGAGGAGGAATGGACTGGGCTGTGAGAGGCAAATAAATAGGCCGACCCGACCCCGTTTCAACACCTAGGAAGGATCCCGCCGTCCCCACGCGCCTGGGCGGCCAACGCGGGCTGCGCGGCAAGGGGTCTGCCTTCCTTCGGGCGACCTTCTGCAGACGGGCCTGAACAGTGGCGATCAGGTTCGCTAGGGGTCTACTTCTGACAGTGTGCTGCACATGGAAGCACACATCAAAATACAAACTTTAGCGTCAGCCAGGAAGGGGAAAAGGCGGTCGAATTGCAGACGCTGCACCCGGAGGCCCCTTGGAAAACAAGCTGGGGAGAAGCGGAAGGACAAGACCAAGCCCATCAAACCTCGGACATTCGAGTATATGCATCATGCAATCCCTCCCCGCAGACCCACAATCTACACACGGGGCCGTGACATGTCCACGCCGCCCAGACGTGCACCAGGCACAACACATTGTTTGACAAATACGAGCCCAGGACAGAAGTGTGAATCTTCATCGAGGCTCTCCAGAAGGCCATCTTAGCACAGTCGCTGTGGGCACTACTCAGGTCGGGGCTCACTGCCCTAAGACGGCAGCTCAACGTTTCATGTACACTCACGGGGTCAATCCGCCATTTAAGATGCTTCCCCTTCTCCAAACCCCTCCCCCGGGAGCCCGGTCCAGTCGTTTTCGGGGGCGGGGAGGGTCCCCAGGGGACCGCTCGAACGCACCATAGGGGGGGCGGAGGGCCCAAAAACAGGCCAGGAGGGTACCAAGAGGCCCCATGCACGTTCCAAGAGGGCAACGAGCCGCCGAAAGATCAATCGAAAACGCCCACGCTGGCCTCCAAACGACCCAAGAGGCCCCAACGACGATCCAAGAAACCATCAAGAGGCGTCCCAAGACGGCCTTCAAGAGCAAAAATCGCTTCATTTCCATAGGGCACATTGATAATACATTCGCCTGCGATCACGGCGCCCAAGACAACCCAAGAAGCCTCCTGGGTCGCCCCAATACGGCCCACGAGGCCCCCCAAACGGCTCTCAGACCCAAGAGGGCCCCAAGACCGCTCAACAATCCCCCGAAAACAGGCCAAGAGGGCACCAAGAGGCCCCGTGGACAGTCCAAGAAGGCAACGAGCTGCCGAAAGATCAATCGAAAACGCCCACGCTGGCCTCCAAACAGCCCAAGAGGCCCCAACGACGCTCAAGAGGCGTCCCAAGACAGCCTCAAAGAGCAAATATCGCTTCATTTCTATAGGGTGACCAGCATTTGTAGCACATTCGCTTATTCTGCGATCACGACGCCCAGGACAACCCAAGAAGCCTCCTGGGTCGCCCCGAGGCGGCCCACGAGGCCCCCAAAACGGCTCTCAGACGACCCAAGAGGACCCCCAAACCGCTCAACAATCCACCGAAAACAAGCCAAGAGGGCACCAAGAGGCCCCCTGGACGGTCCAAGGGGGCAACGGGCCGTCGAAAGATCAATCGAAAACGCCAGCGCTGGCCTCAACAGTACAGGTTGGGGCGCCAGCCGCCTGCTCTGGCGACGACTTGCGCATGGGGCTCGCACAACAATTGGCGCGCGTGCCCTGACTCTTGCACGAGGGGCAGGGAGGAGCAGGGTGACAAGGGGGGATCTCCTGCGGCAATCCTGTGGCTCCTTGGGGCCATCATGGGGAGACAAGGGGGGGGGGGAGCCGCGCAGCGAACGATCGATCTTGAACGAACCACGGATGACGAAGCCAAGTGGCGCTCGTGCTCAGGCTCTTGTGGAGGCAGCGAGGGAGATGGCCAGTGAGAGGGGCCAGGGGGCAGGGGTCCAGCGGGGCAGACAAGGATGGGCTACTGCACGGATGGGTCCTGAGCCAGGGGGGCGGGGCCGGGGCCGGGAACGAGCTTGGGGGCGGTGGTCGAGGAGTGTCCAGGGCGTGAGGGGGGGGGGGGGCCAGTGCGGACGCGGGCGGGGGGCAGAGGTCCAAGGCCAGGGGGGGCGGGGCGGGGCCGAGGGCGAAAGACCACGACCGGCGGAACGAACACAGCAGGCTGTGGGGCAAACGGGGGCGAGGGGGCGGGCCAGAAAGAGGAGCCAGGCTTGCCATCGCTCGGACGTCCAGTCCCCGTGCATCTGTCCGCTTCGTGCGCTTCTTTCTGTCGGAGGATGATCCCGGATGTTCCTAGATGGCGCTCGCAGAGGAAAAAACGAAAACAACAAAAAAACACGGTCGAGCGATGCCAAGCAGGAGGCAGATGTCCAGGACCAGGCGGTTGGGAAGGGGGGAGCGAGAACGCGGGCCAGCGAGAGGAGACGGGCGGGGAAAGTTTCAGAGCCAGGGCGGGGTCAGGGCCGGGCAGGGACCAAGGGCAGGGGTCAAGGCCCACAGACAGCCCAGAAGGCCAAGAATGGGCTAACGATGGGGGGGTCCTGAGCTCCAGCCTTCTTTCTAGACGACGTAGTGCGTGCGCGCGCGTGTACGCCACTGCTGAGATGCCTTTCCACATGGCATCGCTCGTCGTGGCCCACCCAGAATCCTGGAGCGCACGCGGCTTTCGTGCTTTCCGCGCTCATCTGGCATGGCCTGCCGGTGTCGTGGTACAGCTTCTGCAGTTGCCGAGCGCGGCTGATGTCGCCGGGCTGCCCAACCCACCTCCGGTTCTCGCCCAGCTCTCCGTTTCTCTGCCCCCTCCCTTCCTCTTTTCACGCCGGCTCTGGTCTTTCGGCCCGCGGGCCACCGTGGCCTCTAGCTCACCTGGCGTGGCCTGCTGGTGGCGTTCTTTCCTCTGCGTCTCCGCCACTCTGTCTGCGTGCCTCCTTAGAACCCCGCCCTCCCTGCAACGCCTGTTTTTCGACCCTGGGTATCGCTCCGCCACTCCACAAGACACTAAATAACTTCGATCGTGGCCCACCATTGCTACTGCCCCCGCTGGCGCGCTGGAAAACAACAATGCGTGTGTGCTTTCCTGCTTGACTGCGTCGCTGCCTGCTTTTGTTGAATAGCTGACTGGTCTAGTCAGCGCGTCGGAGGAAAACGTGTGTGCGTGTAAGTGTGTGTGTGTGTGTGTAAGTGTGTGTGTGTGTGTTCCTGCGCTGCTCGCCTCGATTTGCCCCTAATTCGGGTGAGCACGGCCTTGGACTAAGCGCGATCGACACGCGGGTGGTTGCACTGAGAGCTTGCGCGGCCCGCTTGCCTTTGACCAACGCTGGCACAACGTCGCGGAGGAGGGACAGAGTACGTGTGTGCCCAGAGCCCCCTGGAATTCCTTCATGAGCTTCTACGTCTAGCGCTTTCACCCCTACACGAGGAATGGGCCTCCAGGACAGAGGCCGGCGGCAATGCTAGCGGTCCTGCCATGTGTGTGAGCTTACCCGTCCTGGCGATTCACCCCCCATGCGAGGCTTTGGCCTCCAGGACAGCCTCGATCCTGCGCACCTGCCATCTGTGCTTACTTAGCTTGTTCTGAATGATTTGCGTGGATGCTGGAAAAAATTGCGAACAACACAGTAGGCCGCAAGTTCATGGGCCTGCCCGCCCTACCGATGCGTCCACTCATGAGGCTTTGGACTCAAGGGCACAGCCTGGTGGTAATGCCGACGTTCCTGCATACTTGCCGTCTGAGTGCTGCCCAAGTGATTGTTCATGAGACTTGTGCCAGAGGTGCGTAATAATATGTTGTTAGCAATACGGTAAACTGTTTCCTTCGTGAGCTTGTCCGTGCTAGCGAATATGCTCCCAGAGGCTTTTGCCTCCAGGGCGCAGCCCAGCGGCAATGCTGGCCGTGCTGCGCACATTGCATATGTGTTTCCAACTTGTTGTTGATGAGATCTATCATAATGAGCTGAACAATTGTGGCAATCAAGGCACATACATTCTTACCGCCAATCTCGAGGTAACTTGAATGTCAGGCATTTGTGCTTGACTTGGTTTGCGCATTTTCGCCCTGGGGTCAACCACGTTCGTTTGGTTGTTGCATTGAGCCGCACTTCCCGCGGCCACCCATGCTTCAGATTGTGATTCAGGATGCGAAATGCTTGCGCCTGCACGCAAGTTGCTGACCTTTAGGACACAGCCTGGCGACATGGCCAGCAATCGACAATCCTTTCCAATTAACCTTCCATGCATGCCGTCGCATGCAGTGTTTGCTTCCAAGGCGAATAGGCGGCATTGCCAATCGTTTGCGTTCTGTTCGCACGTATATTTGCCACATGTAATAACGATGCGACTCTTGCCGGTGGTGTGAAGGGGAACGCGACAGTAGCTCGCTCATTCGTAAGTTTCTGCGTCCTGTCGAATTCGCCCGAATTCTGGAGGTCGGAAAGGGGTATGGCATAACGGGTCGAGGTGCCAATCGTGGAAATCGAGATGCTATTTACGATAGATGGCATCGCCAGACTCCACATTGGCACCAGATCCCTTTATGCCACACCCCTTTCCTACCTCCAGACCAATGTGTGGCTCGTGCCTCCAGGACACAGCCTGGCGGCAATGCCTGTGGTTCCGCATGCATCCCATAATGTTTGCCCATCTAGTCTTTGATGTGATTTGTGGCCTTGGTGTGAAGAGGGGGGTTGTTAGGAACACGCTGTCTTTTTGGCCGTGAGCTTACGCGTCCTAGCGATTCCGCGCACGTACCAAGCTTTGGCCTCAAGGGCACAGCCCGGCGGCAATGCCAGCGG